TCTTTTCTTCTCTGTCTTCTTGTTCATCATCTTCTTCATCATTTCGATCTTCTACTGCTTGTCCAACAAGTCGATTTCGACTGGATTCACTTAAGCCGCCCACTATACGCACCTGAGAAGGTCAAATCTTCAATCGGGTTATCAATTTTGTGTTTTCTAAATTATACCATTGCCCAAATAATCAATTAATGTTTTATTAAAGGTTTTTTTAAATTATTTGGGAAAAAATTATAAAATTGTCCTTTCATTTATTTAATATCAAAATTAATTGTATTTAACAAAATAATTTCGTGAATGTTTGATAAAAAGGATTAGAACTAAAATTGATTCTAAGAAGATGTTTTTACAGTTCTTTTACAAAAGGAAAAGGAGAAAACAAGCGTTTAAAAATTTTTCTGAGAAGTTTTGGTTGCCGGAAACAATGATTTTTGATAATACGGTGTGACGATTGACGATAGAGTTTGTAGCATTTCCAAGGAGACGATTTACTATAAGGATAGTATAAGAGAAGAAAGAAAGGAAGTAGAAAGAAGGTTAGAGATCTTTCTGGAGGGTCAGCCCTCTCATTAGCGTCTGCCATGAGACTGTCTTTTAGATGTGAGACCGGTCTTTTAGCGGAAATTGACATTTGCAGTTAAATATAATCGACAAGATAATTTATTCTCTACTGCAGAATCATAAAAAAAATTATCTAAAAAATGACCACTTGTGAATATCTATTATTTCAGTGGTATTACAAGAAATGAAAGTTTCAATTGATGTTCCGATGGTTGGATATTTTGTCTAGTCAATTGTTGATCGTCGATTAATTAAGTAAGTGAGAAAAGAAGTTGAGAAAAAGGAGAAAAAATTGAATAGTTATTTCGTTATGTCACGGCTGGCAGGGTGGCAATAATAACTTTTCCATACTTCCGTTATTATTCTTATTTTCCATTGTTTTATATTACTTTATTTCAATTTTAATTTTACGATATCATTTTTTTATTCCATGTTTTTTTAAATGCTAGCTACGCACGTACTCACCTCTCTGTTTTCACGTTCCGCATTACGACGACAGAATTTTCTGTTGGATGATTTCACTTTTTTTCATCATCATCATCTAGACTCTTAAAATGTTTACTCCATCAACCTAAAAAATTTTATGACAAAAATATGAATAAATTAAATGTATAACATGATAAAAATTTATTAGAATCTAATTAATATTGAGAAAATCAATGATAATTTTTGTACTAATTGTTCTTTATGTAGAATTATAAAAAGAAAAATGAAAAAACACTCACAATAAGTAAAATTGAAAATTTAATTAAATGATAAAAAGTTTGTGTTACAAAGTAACGGAAATCTTTCGTCACATTTAAAAATTGAATCAATGGATCGATCAAGTGGTGTCGAAGGATCGTAAGTCATATTCGTGGTAAGCAGCAATTACGTTTGGTCAAGAAAAAAGAGAATAAGAAAGAAGACCTGGTTTCCGGACACGCCACTGGCCCCATTCATGCCCATGAACCTTCATTCACCCTCTGAAAATTACTCCAAGTGATGCCGAAGAAGCCAAAACAGTTGAACGATGAAAGAAGTAGGAGAAAAAAAGGGAAAATGAATTTTGTCTTCTGTTTCGATCCTTTCCCATGTCTCCTTTGCTTAACGAAATCTCAGTATCTATTGTGTCATATCCACACACATCATCTGCAATTATTGGCAATGCGTGCGTGCGAATCTATTGTTAGACCTCATTCGAGTGCGCTAAACAGATTTCCGTCCTCTTATAATCTTCATAAGAGCAGCCAATGGGTTTCTGAATAGCCAAAAAAGACTGTGTCCGGTCTTCTTTTCACCTTATTCTCTTCTCTTAGTTGATCCGCAAAGATGAAAGAACATTTTTCATCACTTCTACACGAAACAGGATGCAGAATCAACCAAAAAGTTCTTATTGATCGTGAGAATAAACTTTTAAATAAACTCAAAAAAACAATTAGCATGGGAACTTATTTTTCTTCCAAGCAACATCCTTTTTCAATTATTGTGACTTGTCACTCTTTGTACATCAGCATTTTGTTACCTTTCAACAGCTTTTCAAGAGCTTTGATAGTTATATTATATCATGGAATTGGATACAACATGAATATATCCATAATTATTCATTCATTGGTGATTGATTCGTCATCTCCAAAGCATCATTGGTTGATAAGTTAAGTTACCTTTTTTATAGATTTTATTTGTTCTAATGAATCTAATCAATATTTTTGATTTTTAGTTTAATCAAGATATTTCTTCGTTTAAATTTATCACCATAAAAAGCCATGCCTTGAAGATCTAAAAGAAAAAAAGATGATTTATTGATATACTTGATCAAAACAACAATCTAACATAATTATATTAAATAAATTGCTCCGATAAATAGTAAAAAAAGCTACAATATTGTAACGACTGGCGTTGTAAATAATAAGACGAGCTAAATATAAAGAAAACAAAATAAAATGAAAAGAAATTGAGATACGAAAAGTAAAGTAAAGTGGGGCTTCGGTTCCCACCGAGATAGATGCTCGTTCGGTCGTGTAACGTAAGTCGATATTACGTCGTATCGATATACTTGTTTGATATCCATATAGTTGTATCGAGTGCGTCGTTGCACATATATTGAACACGGTTATACTAACACCCCTTATGTATATACATATAAGATTGTTGCTCTGGCACTTTTATTTTGCTTACGACAAGAAAAGGGACGACGAGAGAAGTCTTACGCATACGAGAGATCGCGGCTCAGGAAACTCGCGACTTCTCTCTTTGCTGTATATACGTATCGCTTACCATCAACGATTTCTTCTTATATAAAGTATTCCAGGGATAGTGTTTCTTCTCAGGAACGACAAGATCTTGAGGACAACGAAGCAACAAAAGAATTGATTCAGGTTCCTTTCCAACTTGATGAACTGTCCTTTAAAAAATTAATATATTCATCATCAACATCTAAAATAAAATAAAAATGAATAAGTTTATTTATAAAGAATTGACTAGAAAGAATAATGCTACTGAAAATTTTTAGGAGATACTGTATCTTATGCAAATTTAATTGGGGTCTATTTAGAAGATATGTTGAAATATGGAAGATAATTGTGACTAACAGGTGACTGAAGAAAGCAAAGATTGAATTAGGTATGTCTTGGAGATGTTTTGGGGATTGGTTTGCAAACCACTGGGGGATCAGTTGCTCTACACTGAATTCTGTGGACTGATCTGCTGACCGAAGGAGCACCGCGCACGAGTCCTGACCAAAGGAACTCCGACCGAGGCTGTTTACTACCACTCTGCGGGTGTGAAACCACAGTCAGGCGGTTTTGGCGCATAGTCCTTTCGACCATCTACTTAACGAACCATCCATTGACCGTCATCATTTTGTCCTTCATTGGTTTACTAGTTTTCTTCATCAATAGAGTAATTTTTTTCTCTTTTACAGTTTTTTACTTGTTCCAATCTAAAAGAAATCCATATTCAATCTCAATTCTACATCACATCAACACTTTTTCTCATTAAATTGAAAAATAATTAAAGAAAATTTTCGATGATCTTCAAAGTCTGTCAGTATATTAGTGAATTAAGAGTTTTTGTTCGGACTGTATCAGTAAAACTTTCTTCAAAAAAATCCTTTAGAAATTTCTTTTCAATTTCTACTGTCTCATCTGTACATTCTGTTTATTTTAATGTATTATTTTCTTTTCTCTATAGACTTCTTCTTATTGTCTGACTCTGGTATTCGACAGAGACGTCTGTTATCCAACATATGGCTCGTCCAACCGTCTTGTAGTGGCGTGGCCCTTTGTTTTGCGATTGTTATGCTTGTAATAGCGGCAAATACGCGAGTCCACTTTTGGTAATCATCTTCTACCCTGCCTACAAACTGCAGGCGGTGTTCTTTGAGTCCTCTGGTGACCTCGACCTTCTTGCCCCTCCGATCCTCCTCTAATTAAGTCCTTCATCCTCGAAAAGACATTTTTTCATTATTTTTTACAAAATTTATAATGCAAAATGTTTTTTCCACTTTTTCCTTTCAACGAACTTGTAACAGCTCAATTTTAAACCAACACCTAAAAAATGTTTACTAAGTAGCAGATAAAATAGTCATCAAATAATCATAAACCAACTTATTTTACTGCTACTTTATTTTATATGTTTCTGATGTAAAATTTATCGTGATTTATTCTTAATTAAATTCTTAACCTCAAAAGGAAATGTTTTTCTATTTTTGGTATCAAATAATTATTTGATAGAACTATTAAGTTATAAATAAAAAGATTTGTTCTATAAAATTTAACCTCAAAAATCGACTAATCATTATTATACTTACATTTCTCCACGGTTCAGAGGAAGATTCATGGAACTCAATAGTGGCCAACGCCCTTGAGGCTCACTACGAAAGTGACAGTGGGACTTAGGAATTACCAATGACCAGGCTTTTTCCATAAGATTAGTTGTTGATTCCATATAAAGTCACAATCTGTTTCGCAATCAAGTCCTCCAACACAAATCCAACTTCATAATCAACCAATTCAACTGTTTTCTCTCATCAAAATAATCTTTGTCTTTAACTCTTTCATTCTACATCTCTTGAGGAAACAATTCGCAATGGCATTTTCTCATAAAAAAAATTTATAATCATGAGAAAACTATTTTATATTTTTTTTTCAGTCGTTTAGGTAGTAATCAAGATGAGATTGACTTACTTTTATTTTATTATGAGGAAATATAGTTCTGTCGAGAATATAATTGGTCGTTAAAGACGAGATGATTCATGTTGTCAATTAATTCACTATTACTCACTCGTTGATTAATATACAATCACATACGAAAAAAACCCAATGCCATGCGTCATTGTGCGAATTTCTTCCAAGACATTCATCAGAATTGAATTAATCATTATTTGGATATTTTTAGTAGCATTTTATTTGATGTGAATAGAAATGAAATTTTAATCATAATTTACATGTTAATTGTTTCAGATAACAATGTAAGTACTGCAGAATGGACTTACCCGTCAACAGCACCGTCGTATCCTGCTCCTTCAGGAAGTGATGGTGGGTCGTATTCTCCTTTACCTGCTGGAGCTTTTTCTTATCCTGGAGAATCGTTATCTCACCATCCAACGACGGAACCTGTTCCATTACCAGCAGGTAATTGTATTGCAATATAAAATAAAAATAAACAGAGTTCAGTAATTTGATTATGAAATAATATAATATAAAAGACCTAAATGACAGAATTGTTATGCATGATGCTTTTCAATTATCAACTTTTAATAAATAATAAATAATCATAACAAATTTTAATAAGCTTATTTTTATTTAATAAATCAATAACTAGTAAAATTTTTCATTGAGATTTATTTCTGAGCATGAGATCCACAATTAAAAAAAATTATTTTTAATATTAATAATTCTAATTTTAATTAAAATTAATTGAGATTTTTGCCTTACTTTAATCTTCAAGATAATTTTATCCAAAATAAATTATTTATTATAAAATTAATAAAAAATATTGTTGGATTTCTAGTTCTGACATCTGATAGTCCTCAAGATGCTTACACGCCAAACTGTGTTACGATGTATCCTTCACATACATCAACATCATCGAATCTTCCCTTGGTACCTGCCAAACCAACAGACTCCGAGATTTTTCCAGCAAGTGCGCCAGGAGGGAATAGTCCTGTTTACCACTACGGTTCTTGGGCTTCAGGACCAAGTACACCTGTACCAGTACCTTCTCACAACTACAATCCCAACTATCAGGGGTATTATAATAATCCAAGTCAGAATTATATCAGTCCAACACCCATGGTTTTGTATCCTCAACTCTATAGCACAGTTAATCAAAATCAGATTCATTTGCATCTCCATGGGGACTTAAGTGAGGACCAACTAACTATTGCAAGTGGAAATCTGACCATTAGCAGCAACAGACTGGAAATCGGTGTGATGGGTGAGGAGAATGAACAAAGGAATGATGTTTGGCGGCCATATTAAACGTGATTGTGTTTATTAATGATAAATAGTGATGTTAAAATAAAATATTAGAACACTTGTGAAGTGTTTAAAGGGTTTCCGTTAGGAAATTACCATCTATTAATGTAAATATGCAGGATATTTTCCATAAATAAAATAAAAATAATCATTTAATATTTTTCAAGCATTTCTTGGTCATATTTTGATAATAAATATTTTTTTTAGGAATAAATGTGAAGTGAATGGGACTTTTATGATCCATCAACTCTAAATCTATGGACGAAGCATTTAATATTTAAAGATTCGGTGCGTGTGTCGAAGCGATGGTTAGTTGTGGTTTAAGCAGGCAAAGTTCTATATAGTGAACTGTAGTTCTGGTCGTTTGGTAGCTTCCTTTATTAGCAATCAACCCTTCCTCTCTTGCCCTCTAAACTGAACTCGTGGTTGGCAGACACGAAGCAGTACCTCATGTTTCGAATAAAACGCATTCTTTTTCACTCTCCCTTCTAGAATATTTAAGCTCATCTACCATTACACTACAGTTAGTAGTGAAAATTATCTCGATTACTCAAAGTGTCCATCATTTATCAATAGCAAACCCCATTTCACATATTATATAAAATTACTAAGAGTAAATTTATGAATAAATTCGTTATAATTTCATTTCATCGTTTTTAGTCTCATCTAAATCTATAGATTATTTTCAAAGTTAAATTCTTTGTTTTGACGAAACCCTTTGGAATAATTTTAAAAAGGAAAATGAAGGTTTTAAAACATGTACTACAAGATAATTTTAATAGAAGTTGGAAATAAAAAATTTTCATATTATTTCAAATCCAGGTAAGTAGAAATATTTTTTTATCTTATCTCTTTAGCTTAAATCTCAGTCTCATTCCTTTCCCTTTGCCTTTAAATGTTATACAACAGGTTTATTGCTTAGACTTGACTACAAGAGAATGGTTGTCGCTCGTAAGCTTCGCTCTTTATGAGCCACAGATGACTCGACGCAACGCAACCGCAGACGTGAAACATTGTCTCCTTTCTCTGAGCATTTCGTGGCTTCTTTACTTTTTTTGGTTCTAAAAAAAATAACCAGGGTAGGTCCAGGATATTTTTATACATTCTAATAAAGAAAACAGTATCTATCAATGATGAGATTTAATATTGTCAAGACTTTTGTCATTATTTTCTTTACAACCATTGCAATCATCAGAAAAACTCCATCAGCTCTTAATCTAACTATGAGCAACTTCATAAAAATAACATTTACATGACAAGTTACCAATAAACATTGACATTTGCCTTCAATACTTTTTTAAAACATTGAATATTTTAATTTATATAATCTACGCGTAAAGAAATAAATATCAAATTGTTTAATTATTTGTCAAGCCATAAAGAATGATGATTCGATGAAACAACGCCGATATTTTTTGCTTGAGATTTGCATCCACTGCGAATTTAGTTAAAGTTCTGATTCCTCCAACCAATACTGGAAGCAGTGGAGTTAAAGATTCATCCTGTGAAAGTGATTAAAAATTATTTATACAAGTAATTAGTTATTTTTAAAAATATAAAATATTACATACCGGAAGAGCTAACGTCCATTCTAGAGAGGCACTGAGAGTTTCAGCCCATGCTCGTCTGTGTGCTTCACTATCTTTACTGATAAAACTTTTCTTTGTTCCTTCTACTCCAAACCTCTCATAATTTTCAGCACTAATATTATTCTCGACATTGCAGAGAAATGGATTAGTTCTGAAGCCTCGTTTACTTTTCTCATAATCTCGTAATAAATCATCAACGCTGTCTTCAAAAACTGAATTTATTTCACCGGCATGAACATCGTCATCATCACTATCATTATTATCATTCTTATTATTTAGATCATGATTACTTGAACGATCTTGAGACTTACAAGAATCCGTTACAATGTATTCAACCTTACACGTTTTATTCTCAGATAATTTTAAGTTAAGGAATGAAGACACTTGCGAAAGACCACAATTGTTAATTCTATGAAGCTCCATTAAAGATTTTGATTTCTTGGATATAGAAGAGGAGAACTCCTCCTCTGAATCGTGATTTAATACAATTTTTAATGAATTTCTTCGCGATAAAATACTTTTTTCTGATCGGCAGCAGAATGTTTTAGAATTTTTGCATTTAACCTGAGTGAGATCATTAACTTTTTCTATGCTATTTTGCATGCTTTTATCATTGAAAACTTTGTGATTCATTTTCTGATAAATTTTTTCATTACTTTTAAATTTTTTCTTAATTTTTCGAACATTTTCGTTTTCTAAATTATCTTCCGTGACATCTTCAACAGTCTTATCAGTATCTTCATCGCTTGTGCGTAATTTTTCTCGTCTTTCTGAAACATTTGAACTACTGTTCACATTGAGATCTGAGGTGTTTTCGTGTTCATCAACATCTTTCGGACAATATCTACAAGTTTTCCGATAGACTATTGTCTTCTGTCGCGACCTAGGCCTTGAAGAAGGCCTTGATTCATCAGAATCACTCTCAGATTCTGGTCCAGACTCAACATAATAATCCGAAGCCATATCGAATAATTTTAAAGATCTGTATTCTTCATCAATCTTGGAATTTTTCTTTTCCTCACGGTTTTGATTAGCATTAGATACTATGACGTCATGTTGCTGAAGAGATTCATTGTCTAATGATCTTAATCTTTCATCCATTGGTTCTTTACTGGTTATTTCTGGGAAATCATCCGGTTGAGCAACTAACAAAAAAATTTTCCTTTCTGCAAATCCATCAGCTACTGAATGTTTTCCGTCTTTGTTAATAATGACATCCACATAAGTGTCAACTAATGAATCGAATGTGACTTTTAACTGTTTAATATATTTAATTAAAAGCTCTTTACTTGAGTCTTGGGTTTTTTGATTTTTTTTAAAACCAATTTGATTGCTTAAAATCTTCTTTATACATTCTAAATCAGCTTTGGTTTTAATAATTTCGTTCAAACATAGATTGAAAATTGTGAGAATTTTGATTGTCCATGCAGCACCTGCTTGACGGTATAAATTAGCAGGTTGCTGAAGGTTCGCTACTTTTTGTATAAGAAATTTAAGCCCCGGGCGAGAGTCAAACTTCAAAGCTGCTGCAAAAGAAAGGTCTAACGTTGTTAAAAAAATGTCGATATGTTTTGGACTTAAGTTGGACACGTGACCAATTGGTTTAGGGGTAGTTGGAGATGTTGGAGTCATTATAACATTGCAAAAGCTGAAACAATAAAATTAATTTTAATTATGTTGAAAATTAAATTTCCAATATTTATGTTCAGAAATGAAATTCGTTTAATCTTACTTCGATATTGATCCAATAGAATCTTGAAGCAGTACACTAGCAATACAATGAAGAAGCATTTGATGAACTAAAAGGCCGACCACAAGAGCTCGAAGATGAACTCGAACAATATATAAATCTGGATTAAGAGTAGAAGCAACTGATGGGGGATAAAGTAAGAAAACGTAAGATCTATCATCAGAAAATCTTGTAGATTCATCAGACCGTTGTTCAGCCATCAAAAATACCTAAGAAAAAATTATTTATTAAATATTATGAAATAAATTCAAAAGTATCATTAAAAAACTGGGGCTTGTTATATGTGTGATGCAGAAAAAAAACATTAAAAAAAGGGAAGGATAAAAAACTGTACTAGAATGGATAGAAAACTCTGCGTGTTTACAAAAAATTGTCAATTTTAGGATAAGTGTTAGTGGTGTGCGTTCTACGAAAGCTCTTTCAATAATTCATTAATATTTATATATGATAGATTTACTGTGAATTATCTAGCCATGGACTCAAGCCATGGATTTTAATGTGTTGATTATACAATTTATATTAAGTTGAATTCAAAAATATAGATTACACAATATTACAATCATTACTTAAATACCGTGCTTTCAACGATGGAGCCCTTCTTTAAAAAATAAATTTACTTTTTTTTTATGCTCCGTTAAAAAAAAATTTTTTTTGAAGGACCCCTTCGACACTTTCTGCTGTCTCCAAATGTGCCTTCTACCAGCAAGTGCAGATGTCTAAACTTTAAAGCGCAGTCGGTAGACAGATTCAGTATCTTTGTATTTCAAATAAATTGATAATATAAAATCTTATAAAAGTTACTGAGATTAGTTAAAGATTAATCCAGCAAAAAATGTAGAATCTGACCACCGATGCAATTGATAATCCCTTGATTCTAATCACGTAATTCAGTGGTTTGGGGTTGGTACCGGGGAAAAATGGATTGTTTAGGCTAGACAGGGGTAAGAAGTGTAATGTGTTGATAGGATTTTTGACATAAAAGGTTTGTTTGAAATTAAAATCCATGACGTGAGTTACCGTGAACGGCTAGAGCCATTGGGGGCCCGTGTTCGACGTAGTGTTAGTGTAATCGGGGGGTGTGGTGTGCTGCCTACAACCGACGGGGTAGGAAGATGTGTGCTGGTCGAGCAGTGTCGTCTCAATGGTCATCGTTTCTTCAAAAGGCGTGGTTGGTAGTGTAGCCGCGTTCTGCCTCTTCACGGCAGTCAATACCTCGCGCAGCTGGCTCACCTGAGATCAAGTCAGGTCACAGCGAGGAAGATAGAAGAGCAAGAGAGAAGAAGACAAGCAACGTGTGTTTTCTTTCTTTTTTTTGATTCATTATCAAAATAATTCAATGCACGGACCAACAAGCACACCGCACACTTGCACACTCCAAGAAGGTAACAAGAGCTTGAAGAATTTAATTCCACGCTTTCGTTAAACGAGCTAAATGAGTTGGCATTCAAGTCTTATTATAACTAACTAAAATCTATTTCAAGATTCCAACTCACTCTTATATTATTAATTACTATTGATACTACCATCATCTAGACTATTTTACCTGTGACGAGAGCTGACGAAGACGCTCTGACTCTTCAGGAGTTGCGTCTCTGCGTGCTGCCACTTTCACTTGAGCTATGTCACCGTAAAATGATTCAGATCTTGGAGAGAATGCCATTGTAAGTTGATGAAGTTCTTGTAGTGAGTTAGAACATGCTCGATAACAGGCTATTCCACACACTTCCCATTGCTCTGCTGTTAAAATAGGTCCACTGCTTATGAGAACATGCCTAGAAATTAAAAGAAACTATTAATATTATAAAGCAATAAAGCAATATATTAATATATTTCATTCTTTTCACTAATTCTTGCTGTCTTTTATTATTTTTTACATAAAAGATCACAGATTGTATGACAAGAAAGCTACTCCATTGGAAGCTTATCGATACTTCTCACCCAGGTGTAAGATTACGAGTTAAAACTCGTTGGATATCAACCCTTTCCCCCCTGCTTTTGCTACTTTATCTTCCCAGACAGCTTGTCAAGCTTGATTATCGTCTTACATACACCTTTCCGAATCTGTCAATGATATCCTTGGCAACCACCAACTCACATTCCATCGTACGTTCTTGTTAGATTTTTTATTTTTCTATGAGATTGATCACTACCGTGTAAGGCATATTTTAACGTACAATTTTACGCGTTATGTTTCATAATTTTAATTATTACTTTTACAACATATATTCATATTTTATGCTTACTAAGAGTAATAATATATACCTTATACACGCGCAACCAAGTCTAGCAATACTTTCTGTCTGCTGAACAACACATTCTGCCATTACTAAAAGTAATTGTTTCAGCATCAAAGTTGTAGCAGGAAGTAATTCATCGTCTCTTTTTACTTCTGGGCCTGAAAGAAAAATGTTTATTAAAGTCATAATTCTAAGTTATAGAAAAATTGTTTATTTGAAGAAACTGACCTTGAAGATGAGTTAAATAATCAACTACTAAATCAGTTGTAAGACCACAGCACTGTTTAAAATTCGGCGCAAAGTTATCCCATCCTCTGAATATTTTCGATGTCATCCTGAGCCAATTTTGAACCATAGGAAGAAGTAAGTGATTAACACAATAAAGTCCAAAAGCGGGTCCAGGAACGTTAAGTACATCTCGAAGAAGATGAAAAAGGGTTTCAAGTGTATGAGGTTGATAACGTCTGGGACAAATCATTGTGGCACTTGCTAATCCTTCAATAAGAAGATACCAAACTCTTAAAATACCACTAGGCTTCTCCATGCTTTGCAAAGTTATCGTTTGAGTTTTATCAAGCTTCGATAATAATTCATAAGACACTTCAGGGATTATCTCTTGCATGGTATCAGAATTCTTATCAAATTTGGCCACTTCTAGGTTGGGAATTACTGGATCCACGTACTGAGGAATTGCAGAGACTTGAATCTTAGCAGCAGAATGGAAAATAGGACAAGCAGGCATTCGATACATTGATGAAAGAATGTCACTGCAATTTAAAAGATATTTTAAACTCTCTAAACATAATCTCATTTTTTTAATTTCTAAATTGGTAATTTGATCAGAATCTGTTGAACTTTCAGCTTCTCCAGTTCCTCTCACGTGCTTCAATAGACACAAAATGCAGTCAAGAGCTGCATTAGCAAAAACTAAGGTATTATCGGTTGATAAAAACACCCTAAAAACTTCAAGAAGTGGTGCAGATTCAACAGAATCTGATGATCCAACTGATGCTACACGAAGTGCTCCAAATAATGGTCGCCATCCTGATCTTATTTCTGTTCGGTTTGTCTCTACAAACTCACAAATACAGCTTACAATTTGATCTTGAACGTCGCTGTCACACAGTTCTAAACAGAGGAGATTTTCAAAAGGTTTGAAGAGCGCTTCATTGAAATGAAAGTGCGGCAGCTCTATTTGTTCATTCAGAAGTGCTGCCATTGAGTCATGAATGCATTGAACAGCTTTCTTAGAAATTTCTCGGTCTTTATGACAAGCAGCTTCCATAAAATGTGGCCCTAAAACGCTCCATATTCTCATAATGTGAATCAAAGGTCGTCCTGATTTAACACACTTCAACATAACTTCACCTAACCGTGAAAGAAGTAGGACATTTAACTCTTCTTCACGAGGTTTTGATTTTTTGAACCAAAATTTCCGGTTGTCTGTGTTTCCATCAGCTGATTTAAATAATTGGTCTTTAGAGGCTTTACATAAAGCTGTTAAAAAAGAGCACAATGCTTTTAAATTAAGTTTTAAAGCAGCATCTTCGAATAATCTATCGACTTGTTGAGATAAAACACAAATTATTTTTGCCGCATAATCTGCTGGAAGAATGCCATTAAATTGATTATCAGCATTGGACTCTTGAATAATATCTGGAACAGTATCTGTAGTAGGATTTTGGCTATATGGGGTCGATAAGAAACTATAAACATCAACACAAGTTTCATCTTCGTCGATGATATTAAAATTCAATCGGTTTTTGTCTACTTTAGATTCAATCTGGCATTCTTTTTTCTCTTTCCTCGCCAATTTGGGTAATACAAGATTCTGATTTCGTCCAAAGAAGTCATGCTCCAACTTGCTTACATACAAACAACATGTAAATACGTGAGGCCAGCAGTCACTTCCATGAGATCCAAGTTCTAGACCTCTGCCAAGCAAAACTTCCATGCTCAGCGCATGTGAAGTGTGTAGATTTGTTGCTCTATTTTGTAATTTAAGCCTTAATACATCTTTAGTACGTCGCAATTTCGATATAGCTGGCTCTGTACATGCGGCCTTGGCTAAAAGAGCAAAAATCGACCCGCAGCGACTTTGAAGTCCAAGAACATTGCTAAGAGTAGCTGCTTTGTGAAGCCCCTCCAACGCCAAGACAACCGTATCTCTAACCCCTCGTCTCGCATTATCTCGGTTTAAAATTCCCTTACTCGTGTCTTCTTTCACAGGATTTAAGCCAGCAGTCAATACAGTCATCATACTGGTCCAACAACAGGTCAAGACTCTTCTTGATAATTTTGCTCCTGCTTCTTCTTCTGGAGTTGCCTCACTTCGTGATAGTTGAGCTTTCTCTAATCTTCGATAATCCGAAAGTAGTTGACCACCTCGTTGACTACCGCTTATTCCATCAACGTCAACTAAAATATTAACTAGAGCACAATTTTCTGTTGACACAGGATTATATCCACACTTCTCCAATAAATTACATGCTAAAATTTGTTGATAAAGCTCAGATAACCAGGTGGCTGATAAATAAACTAATACCCCTGATCCGTGAACTTCTTCAACAAATTGTTCTTCACTCATCGGCACTTGACAACCTTCATAAGAATAATAATTCATTTTTATCAGCTTCAAATTAAGTAACAAAGCTGCATAAGTTGCTAAATATATTCCATCAGCATTCATAATTGTTATTAAGGCACCTGCATCAGCGGAATCTGGATCTTGAATTTTTTGTTGAGAAGCAAAGACTCCCTGACAGTATTCTGAAGCAAAATTCTGTAGGGCTTCATCCACTTCAATATTACTTCGAAGGTTCAATACCAAAGGAATCAAATCCGTGCGAAGAATCTTCACAAATTGACGAGCATTATGTCGTTCTACGTCTACATTACATTCTTCAGCAAATTGCCTTCCTACATGAAGACATTTGGGCAATTTTTCTAATCTCAGTCTTTCCCGTTCATTTGCTATAGCATAATCATTTTCATCGAGACTATTATCATCAGCAACGTCATCAGATTCATTTTGAGGTCCTTCAGTATCAGTAGAATCACCATCTTCAGAAGGGCCATGACCAGAAGAATCTGATTCTGAACCAGTTGACTTTTTCATTAACTCCAACTGCTCTCTATAAGTTTTTGGTAATCTACTCATACTTTGGTAAGTCAATGGGCCTCGATAATCACAAGATTCCAAGTCATCATATAAAGCATTAATAGTACAAATGTAACTATGACTAATAGCTTTGCCTTCACAGAGCTCTTGTAGAGCTGAAAGCATAGCCACTACACAAGAAACGCTGGCGTATAAAACAGGTTGACCAGCAGTTGTTGACTCCTCGATTGAATCCATTACCAATCTCATCAAGGCCATATCACTCTGAGGTTGACTAGTTTTTTCTTCTTCAACTAAAAGCGGTCCAGAAAAGTCTACCATTCGACTTGGACTTCTTAAAAGCTCTCGTACAGCTTTCAATGACTCAAGACGTTGTTGAGGTGGTGGATACAACAGCATACGATGGAAAACCGATTCTAATACTGGGCGAAGAGATCCAACACAGCCTACAAGACGTACTAGTTCTATTCCAATGCTAAAAATTGAATTTATTTAGAAACACTCATTAACTGTATATGTACAAACGTATTTGAGGCATTTTTCAAACGAATTGGGAATTTTTTTAATTAGCGATAGTTAATGTACCTGTAAACAGTCTTTGATTGGTGACTATCAAAGCTCAAGGTCGTTGCTAAGTAACCAGAACCTCTGCCTACCTCAGTGTCTCTTCCTTCGCGTGATGTAAAAGTTTTGTCTACTCGAGGGGTTCCCAGGAAAGCGATCAATGCAGGGCAGAATTTCTGCCAGAGGAATGTAGTGAAATGCGTATTTGTATGGATTTTCTGAGGGAGTGATGATATCAATGTATGTAAACATTCTAGCAGGAAGACTATGGTATTCCCATTTTTTGTATTGTTGGAACATTTTTTCCTTAAAATTTTTCATATTCGTTAGTTTAAATTTAAAAAGATATTATTTAATAAAATTATTTCAATTACCTCTGAGCTTCATCCAATCTACTGCAAATATATTGAAGAATTGGGAGTGCTTCATTGAAGCAAGAAACTCCTCTTTCTCGCAGATTTTTATTCTTTTTTGCATATTCATCCAATTCTCTGCATTCTTCATCTAAAAATTGTTTAAGTATTCTTAGACTATTGGATAACAAATTAAAAAGTCAAAGTAGCTGATTATAACGATAATCGAAATATTTACTACCTAAAAATAAACAAAAAGATCTCAAAGTTTGACTTGTTGCAGCTTGAGCAGCAGTTCGAACTGCTTGATTTCCATTCTCAAAAGCTTCACAACATGTCGTGAGGATTGCAATGATTAAACGACCGTTCATTGTCCAATAAGCTGAACAAGCTACTTGTAATAATACCTGTAGGATGATTATTGAATGAATAGTTTTCTAATCTAATAGGTATTAATAGAATTCAATCAACTTAATTAAAGATTAATTCAATCAATAAATTATTACAAAATTCTGTAGTAGATAATCAATAGTTTAATATAGAATGTATTTGATTGAAATTCTATGACAAGTTAATTAAAGTTTTTTCATTAAATTGATTGTTCTTACCTTCAACATATCCGTTTGTGTATCATCTGATTGAGAGAGAATGGAACCCATCGCATGTAACATCTGGGCGGGTAACCATAAGGAATCATCTTCAGGCTCATATGGAGATTGAAATCTATCATCTCTCAATATTTTCTGTAAAATAATTTCAAGTGCATTAAATAACTTTATTTCTATAATTAAAATGTAAATTTTAACTCAAATCATAATTTATTCATTTCTAAATACAAAAAAGCAAAGTTATGACGTAATGTATGGCTTGCTGGTTTTTATCGCAAGGAAATAATGATAAAGAAAAAATAAAATAGTACAACTTACATGGAGTCCAGTCAGCCCATATGAAACTAATTTGCTTCGTTTGGTCTCCAAAGCCAGTTGGATGGCATAAAGACATTTTGATCGTAGTTCATGAGGAGGGTCTCGTAGGAGACCCTGTTGTTTTTCCATAAAATCTGAAAAGTTTATAAAAACAAAGTTATTAAGGTTATTAAGCTTTATTGAAAAGAAATTTTTAATAAAAAATATTAAATATAAAAAATGTTTTAAATAAATATTATTTACTTACCATATGCATCCTGAGCGGCTTTTCTAACGTTAGATAATTTGGCATTTTGTGATTCCTTAACAATTAGAAGTAGCAGATCCTCCATGTCACGAGCAACTGCCACGAGACTAATCAATACCAGCCTTCCCACGCATTGTTTTGCTTTTTATCCTAAAGCTTGCGCATGCGGGAATTTGAAATTTTGTTTGGTTTTTATTTACTTATTCTAATGAAATAAAAATGTAAGTAATAAGTTTTTTTGCTTTATATTTTATTGAAATCAAAAACATTTATTTCAATGGAGGGAAATTTAAAATTTAAAATAGCTTATCATAACCTGATAAATTAGGTCTGATCCATTATTAACAGTATTCTGTTTTATCATCTGAGAATATCAGAACTTTTACCTGTTGAGCAAACAAGTTCAACAGAAGACAGCTGATAATGAGCATTTTTATTGTTCAGCCATAAATTAATCATTGTTTTGATTTTTTTACGTTAAATGTAACACGAGTTATTAATCGTTAGAATGACCGGTAGTTTAATTCCTTATAAACAAAATAAAAATTGTAAATACTGATAAGTTGGATTTAAAAACAGTTTGTGAACTGTAGAATCGTGTAATTCTTTACAGAGTATCGAATACAAAAACTTTAAAATATTCAGTTATCAATTATCTGCTAGTGTAATCATGGAATTATCAGATCGTTTTTATAAATTTCTCGTTGAATTTCTAGGTAAGTTTAATTGATGGATTATTTATTATAAACTACTATTATTATTTAAAAATCCATTTGTAAATTCATTCTAACCTGTAAGGGATTTTTAAATCAATTTTCATTTCTACTCAAATTTAAATACTTTTGATCTTATTTCCAGCACTAACTGTTGGTATTATTCATCAAGATCATGTATCATCGCTTTTTGAGAATGATAGACGTTTTTCACACCTATCTGAAATCGAAAGAGAGATGTCATTTCGCACAGAAATGGTAATTAAATCTTTGAAAGTTTTCATGCATGTTTTGGAAAAATAATGGATCAATTGTCTCTTTTTATTTTTTAGGGAATGTATTACTATTACTATAAACTCATTGTTGAGTCTCCCAGCTGGACTGATGGCATCAAAAAAATATGGAATGATACTCATTCTCAATACCCTAGTGAAATAAACGCTCAGAGAACTTATAATTTATTTCCAGAAATCGTTGCTGGATTTTTATATCATAAAGCCAAATCATTTAATCTCTTTAATCCTCCAGAATGTTGGGATGTAAGTAAACAACATTTTTTTTTGGTTTTTCTTTTATTAAAGATGAGGAAGAATTTATCTCAATTATTTTAGATAGAACGAGGATATGGATTAACGACAGTTACTAGTTGCGAAGGACTAGCAGTTCCATCATATTTTTATATTCAATTTGTCTGGTGTTTTGCATCATTGACTGGAATAATACTATTCCTTTATGCAACTTATCTCAGTGAATCTATTTATGGAGGTTTTATCGCCAGTTTGAGCTTTTTTTTTAACTTCACTGAATGTACAAGGGTTCAATGGACACCTCCCTTACGTGAAAGCTTTGCTTATCCAATATTATTGTGGCAAATGTTTTCTGTGACGACTGTTCTTGACAAATACAAAAGTAAAGAGGAAAAGAAATTTCAATGGAAAGATATTTTTGATAATTTTCCTTTTTGGGTAAATGTTTTTCGTAACTTATTAATTTATTAAAGAGTATTCATAAAATCTTATGCTCAAAAGTTAAACTAATTATTTTCATTTCAGAAAATTTTTACTTCTACGACATTGAGTCTGGCATGCTGGCAGTTTTCTCAATTTGTTTTAACAACTCAACTCATTTGTTTACTCATTTTACATTGGATGAAAATAATTCCACGTGAATTATTATTAAAAATAACGGCAACTCATGGATTGTCTATTATTATTAATAGTTTATTCGGAAATCATTGTGCTTTTTCAATCTACGCTGCTTTAGCTGTAGGAATTTTTTGTAGTGACAACTTGAATACGCGATTGGAACATACCTTAAGTCCAAAATGGCTAATTTTGACAAATATAGCCAGTACAATTATTTTTACTTATTTCCAAAAGTTTACCTTAATCATGGCTTATGTGGACTACAATCATGTTTTTGATATTTTGAAAGCCAAGCTAACCAATTATAAAGACTTCCATACTTTGCTTTATACTTGCTCAGCAGAATTTGATTTTCTGCCTTACGAAAACTATGAAGTGATCATTAAAACTCTTCTGCTTCCAACAGCGATTCTTGCAGGATTTTTAGCAATGTATTTTTGGTATAGAAACTATAAAATCCTGGGATATCCAGATTGTATTGAACCTGGAATGGCTTACAATGGCCTACAAACAGGAGCTTTCATATTGATGGCTGTAATGATAATGAGATTGAAATTATTTATGAATCCTCATTTGTGTATAGTAGCTAGTTGTGTTATAAATAAGAAGTATTTGATGAAATTAGGAATTAAAACTGAGTCAATGAGAGTGGGACTACTGATAGCATTGATTATCAGTATGGGATATCATGGATTTGATAGAATTTCAAATGAAATCAAGTACTCAGCAGAATATAAAAATGTTGAACAAGAAGAATTATTCGAATGGGTTAAAGCATATACACCACCAAACGCAGTTTTTGCTGGAAAAATGTCAGTAATGGCTAATTTATTACTTTCTACTGGACGGCCTATTGTAAATAATCCTTTTTATGAAAGTAAAGAAATGAGGTAATGTTTCTTGTATCTAAAAAAATATTTTTCATCTAATAAGTTACTATTTTTTATAAACGTTAAAACCACTCATCTATTGTAATGAATAATCGATTTCTAGATAATTGATTGGTTTTTTTCTATTGACTTCAGGGATAGAACTCTCAAGGTCTATGAAGTGTACAGCAGAAAGGATGCAGCCTCGGTTTATGAAACCATCAGAAATATGCATGTTGATTATTTAGTCCTTGACGGAGGATTGTGTTATGGGCATGGAAATGTGTTAGTATAATTTGATACCATTACTTTATCAGGTATTTTGTTATTTTATTTGTAATTTAATTTTTCTCGTTCGATTCAGTAAACCTGGATGCCGTATGATAGACTTATGGGATGTCACGGATAATGGAGAAGCAAAAAGACTGGGTAAACGGTCTCTTTGTCGAATTTTGTACAGTGGAGATTCACACCCATTTAAAAGAGTATTTGCCAATGATTATTATGTGGTTTTAAGACTGGACTATTCGACTTATGTGGAGTTTAAACCCAAAGTTCCTCTTTTGCGATCTTAGTAGTGTAAGCCCCTTTCAAAAAATCATAAAAATTATTTTTTTAATGCTATTTTGAAATCAACGAGCTAATTAACCGTCTGACTAGACATAACTAATATTTACTTTACTTAATATTTACTTTTACAAAAAATCATATTACTTTGGATTTTTTGGAAAATTTAAATTAATTTTTATTAATTGATAGAATAATTTATTTATTAGTTTATCGAATTTTTTTTATAATAAATATAGAAATGTTCCAAAGAACCTTCTACTAATTTTAATAGATTATTCATTAGTTTATTTGATAATTATTTAATTAATTATTCATTCATTTATTCGTATTTTGATTTTGGTTCCTGTTTTTATAATTGTATAAAAACTAATTAATTATTAATTTATTTATTTATTAAAATTTTTATGTTCCTGTTTTTTTCTAAGACATAAGAAAGAAGGTATACATTCGGGCTGGTATAAGAGTTGAAGAGTGAAAGCGTAACAAAATTACTCACGAGTTTGTTATATATGATATCTTTGTTGAGAGACTGAACCTGATCGAGAAGTCGACTCTTTCGAGTTTTCTTCTATCGACAACATGGAAGCCTGTAAGATTTCCGGGTAAGAAATTGAATTAAATGACTTTTTAGCACGACTACATTGCTGATAATTTCTTCCAATGCGGAAACACACACCTTAATTCTAAAAAAGAATTATAATTAATAACAAAAAATTATGCTAAGAAAAGTTAATGATTATAGAATCTTATAAATGAATGGAATCTAAAAAAGAGGTGTGAAGAATGATATAATAAAATGGAAAAATACTTTCTTTTTTATAATGTCATTACAAATAAATATCAATTTAAACTGTTTTAATGTACACAGAATTTAAAAAAATTGTTCAAGTAAAAAACATTGGATAATAACCGATGTATCTCTTATATTCTAAATAAAATATGTAAACAATTTGAAAATTACGGAAATACTATTGAATAATCGTGAGACATTTATTTTTGGATTTAGTGAAATTAATATGATAAAAATTAGTCTATTTTGATATTAGAAAACAGGTCCAGTCTAGTTAGGAAAATGTCCAATAAGTATCATGTAGCTGGGAATGAAGAAACTTGAGCCTAAGACATGAAAGGTGATAGTTAGAATAAGTTTAAGATGCCTGGAATAGTTTAAGTAAAGACCAAAGACTACGAGAGAGACCTGAGGCAAAGCCCTATCATGACTGTCTACACCTTCACTTCGGTACTACTTCAACATTACGTTCGACTCTAGCTTGATATTAATAAATGTGTTGGTAAAGCTAAAACACGTTGAAGGGGACTGTGAGAGAGCTATACGCCGTTGTACTCTGCTGACCCAAATGAATCCTACAACCAGTCAGTCCTCGTCCGGACTTCTTCGTGGTCTGTTCGTTACTTAATGGCCACTGTTATCATTACATAGCTTTTTAATAATTGTTTAAACATTCTACACTTTCATTTTTTGTGAAATAAGTGATTTTTTGAGACCGATAAATATTTATTTTTATCACAATTGTTATGTTAGTATAAATTAATTTGAGAATGATTTCAATTGTGGATTCTTTAAAATATTAAAGAAAAAATATTTACTCAGTTTCTTAATACTAAACTAGTTTTTATAATTGTTAATTAAATTCATAGTAATTTCTATTAATTATAGTATGTTGTATGTTGTAGATATTAAATAGAAACTCGTTTAAATATTTATTCTTTAATTGCATATTAACTCTTTAAAGTGAATTATATTATCAGAATAATATTGAGTGATTTATTTGGTTGAATATTTTCAAAAAAATTTAATTTATTCTCACAGGAATAAGGCTGGTTCCCAGGTGGAAAAACGTGTTTTTAAAGTAAAGTGAAGTGAAAGAAACAACGTGGAGCAATAGAAAGGCATTAAAAAATGTTATAAAAGTTTTTTGACTTGAAATTTACGCGGGAATAGACAGAATGTAGATTTTATGCTATCAGTTGGAACGAAAGCTCACAGAAGAACAGTTAAAAATACTGAAAAAGATTTCTTTCAACTATTCTAATTTAAATAATTGGCTAGAAAAATGGATTTTTATTATTAATTAGAGCACGTGTGATTTTATGTGCGATTCAACGCAATGTCGCTGCTCTTTACGGTGTTAATCAGCTCAAGACATTGACAACAGCAGTGAGTATACTAATTTAATACCGTATTTGTCCTATTTATTCTCAAAAGAAATCAGTTTATGAGAGTCATAATTAAAGAAGAGAATTTTATAAAATTAATAAATTGCATAAACTGAAGTATAAAAGACACAAATTATAAAACTAATAGTTAAAAGACAATAAAGAATCCGCTAGACTCGTTACTGAATTTATAAAATGAAAAAATAAATAAAAAGTCTCGTTAGAGTTTCACATGACCGAGTTAAAAGACCAGAGTAAAGAGAATGTCGGATGGGAGTTATTATAAATAAAAGTTATGACATGGCACATCATTTGCACTTACAATAGATCCTAACAATCAAATTTAAATGGCTCGAAAGCCTTCAAACGTTCTAATTCTTTAAAGGTCATAATAATAACTGTAATATCTACTACAGCTTCCATTGAAAATATTACATTTACACTCCCATTCGTTGACATAATTTCATTTTTGTGATTGTGAAATTTTTTTTCATTTATTTTTACTCTACATAGAAACTATTCATTGTCGTATTACCTAATTATTTGTTTTTTAAATTATTTTTATCCATTTAAAATCTCTTTTTATTATTTGGAAGGTATAAACAACACTTAAATATCATAAATTAATTGATATGCATTGTCATTCTTTATTTATTTCTAATTAGCTGTCGTATCATTTCATAACTTTTAATTTAATAATTTATTCAAAAAACCAAATTAAAAGTCATTTATTTCTTAGAAATCATTTGATAAATGAAAAAAATTTAAAGAATCAGGAAAAAATAAATATAGAACAGAAAGTCAACATTCGTGGGAATAAAAGATATTTTGATGCTCAATGATGATCAATCAAATACTGAAAACACATTTTATGACACGTTTACCTACATTCACTAGAGATTGCAATTTTCTCGTGAAGGTGCAGTTAACGATCGGCTGTTGTGTTCCCACGCAAGACCAACTTAGCCGATCCTTTATCAGGATTCCTATGAAGATGACATGCCTACGCAAGACCTTCATTTTTTCCTAGACATTTTTTTTTTCTTTTCTCTTAAAACGAGTCTTCTTGATGATAGTGATGAATCTCGATATACTTGGCGAGGAAGACTTAGCGGTAAACGATGGCTTACAAGAGTTAGAATGAAGAGAGGCGTGTCGCTCGATTAGCTTGGAATTTCTGGAGATGGAGAGGCTGATCAAGGTCAGAAAAAATGAAAAACATACTTCTTGTTTGATTTTTTATCGATTCAATTATTATTTAATTTTTTTTGTTCAATTTTAAATCAGTACTTTAATCGAATTTCAGCCATTTTAGATTTCTTCTGTAATTTCAAGAATTACTCAATTTCAATTTTTGTTCTATCGGTTATAAATAAGACACGAGATGTTGCTGAACAAGGTCAGAAAAATGTAAAAAAACATTATTAATACACTCTTAAGCTTCTTTGAAAATATTATGGTGATATTCGAGCGTGATAGGCATACTTTGATGAGATTGATAACATTAAATGCTTCATTTGAACGTATTTTCATTTAGGTAAATTTAGATTGACTTAAACGATAGGTAAGCAGTAATAGTATTGATGATGATAAATATGGATTAGCAAATATGGATTTTTATTTTTACATAATGAATACTTATATCAACTCATAGAAGCTAGAGGTTTATGCTTGGATGAGTCCAATAACGGAGAACCAGTTGTTGTTGTTGTATCTATTCCCAAGTGACCCACTTTGACCCAGGTCATTACTGCGTAAGTAAATTCATGCGTTGGATACTTTCTAGGACAACAATTGGTCCTTAATCATAAGTTTTGGACTTTTACTAATTTTCACAAATAATTAAATCATCTGTTTTTATTACACTTCTATATTATAAATCATATTCCCAAACCAGAAAGAGCTAATTAATTGTAATTCTTATGATAAGTATTATTACCTTTGACTTTTACTTGTCATATATTCAGCAACTTTTACTCCAGTACTAATAATTTTTTCGTTTCTAAAACTCTCTGAACTTGGTGTTAATGAAAAGAAAGTGAATTAGGATATGTTTCTTATTATAAAAACTCGATTTAATTACTCTTACTCATCGTACTCGACGATTTTCATTTTTCATCACATCACTTTTTTTTTTCTTAGTATTTAAAAAAAAATAAATTAAGTTTTGATGGAAGTGAAAGGTACAATTAGCGGTAACGCTGATTATAAAACTATAACTTCTGACGCTTGTTTGTCAGTATCAAAGAAAAAAAGAACGAAAATGTTTTTTTTTGCCTCGGAAATAGATAAGTCAAACTTTAATAGAAAAGAAAGTTAATTGGCTGAATTTGTAACAATAAAAAATAACAATTGAATTTTTTGCAACTTCTTTGTTTTTCAAAGGATATTTTGTCTAAAGCAAGGTCAGAGCAATAAAATATCCTGACTTAACGCTCGAGCAGGATTGAAAGTTGCACAATAACGATACAAACAAGGAACTTACTTTTGTATGTTGCTGGGTAGGCCATTGATCTTTCTAAATAGCTCTTACCTACTTAGCCTGCTGTGTTTTATGCTTTATATTCTAAGAAAAGTCATCGAGTCACTTACATATAAGTAGGTATTCATATAAATCCAATTGTTCAAGAGAACATGAGATGAACCTAAAGAACCTGGAGTCTCTCGACAAGTTGTCTGGAATGTCGAGTGCGTGATCGTAACGAGAAAGTATGAGATAGAAAAAAAAGAGAAGGTTAAAGACTACAACTTTCCAGTTGTCTTTAATGAATACTCATATTCCCATCAATTTGTGTGAAATCATGCTAATTTTTGGCATTTTAGAGCTAAAATTATGAAGATTTCCTCTGGGAGTATTTAAAATCTTGTAAATTAGATCATAGTACGTCTAAAGTAGAAAGTTGTAGCTCGAGTTGTAGAGCAAAAATAAAGGGAAAGAGATATATAATTGTGAAAGAAATGCTGAGAAAAAATAATTTTCCAAAGAATACAATATTCTTTACTTCATGATACTTATTTTTAAGTAAAATATTCCATATACTTGATTCAAAAACTGTTTCAAAAGTAAAACAACTTTACAGTTATCCATGGCATAAAGTTTTTCATGGTTTTGAAAACTTTTTTTAGTGCTCACATTACCATAAAATTATAATTAATATAATAAAATATATTAAATTAATAATACAAACAACTCGAATATTATTCTAAATATTTATAATTAACTTAAATGATCTTTTAACATTTTCCTACCCACCTCTATTATGCAAATTCATCACCATCCATCCAAGTAGGACGCAAGCAGACCTTTGTAATAAAAAAATAAAAATTCCAACATTTATTTGTTCCAGAGATGCGAAGTGAAGTAGGGGAATGGTTAGCAACGTGTGTCGGTTCTCCAATCTGTATTCTCTTGTTGTCCTGGTCGCTACTCATCTACCAGAACCAGCCGTCGTCCTTGAAAAGAAGGATCGATGTCCTTACTGTAGCTGTTATCACGCAAAGCCTTGCTCACCAGCTTGGTCTTCTGCTTTATGCCATCCTGACACTCATCCACCCTTCTAATCATTTCGGAGGTTAGTTTAATTTTGTGAAATCATTACATCACCAACATTATCTTCATGCTTGTTAGCATCATAGATTATAGCCAATTGAATCTAATTTGAAACAATTTAAAGTGAAACTGAGCTAAAAAATTTGGATATAAATTAGCCAACATCACAACAGAATTTTATTTTTAGAACAAAAGCATAATTATGAATTATTAATCAAGTTTAATGTAATTATAAATGATTTAATTATACTGATATTAAGGATAAAATAATTCCACTGTTCTTTCATTTTTATGCAATTATTCCAGTAATAATTGCATGTCCGGGTGTTGGTAATGTATTTGAATCAAGTTTTAGTTCTAAAAAAGTATTACATACATTTTTTTTTTCTTTCAATGACAGAAATTTGTTCAACTTTGGTTTGGCTTCTAAACTCTTCAAGCATACTTCAACAATTAACATTAACATCAATAGCAATCTTCGCTGCAATCAATAAAGAAGATTTAAATGTAACAAAAAATCACCTGAAGTATCATTTGGTGTCATTAAGCGTTGTGAGTGCATGCATAGGCTTCACAGGAGTGTTAAATTTCGAGCCAGAAACCTGTGTATTTCTTGCTCAAGAGGTATCAGTAAAGTATGGGCTCTTCATCAATGCACTGAGGACTCTTTTATTGCTAGCAACAATTACTGGAGTTTGTGTTGCAATTTGTAAGGATGCCTTTCGTAGTCCTAAATCAGAATTGTTGCAGTCTGTATCAGATTTATCAGACACCAGTTCAAAAAATTCATCCGGAGCCTTCGATTGCCACAACCATCATTGGGATCCATCTAGTGGATCTTGCACAAGTGGATCAACCAATTCAAGAGCTTGCTTAAAAAAAAGAAAAACTCATATTGATGAAACAGGAAGCAAATCAACTGTTTTTAGCATTCTCTTTGTTTGTTATATGTTTGATCATCTTCCAGTTTTGGTAAGTTACTTTTTTTTATTCAAATCATTTTAAAAGTGACTGGAATATTGATGAAGGGAGAGTGTATAGTAATAATTTAATTCAATTGTCCTCGTGAGCTAAAAACATAACAGACGCCCAATTAGAAAATAGTACAAAGCTACGAAGTGAATTGCATTGCAAGCGAATACTAATGTTCTTTGAAGTTGTTCAAGTGTTGTAAGCAATATAAACATGTTTTCTATGTCGATCTTGTTGATGTATTGATTCCGTTCGTGATGGTTATAAGATTAGGTCACAGTTTCTCCAGCGATTTCGAACGAATGTTGAACGTGCGTCGAATCACGATGTAATTAATCAACTTTTGCAAGTGCATTCACTTCCTATGCCACAGATAATCGATTAAATAGTGATTTATGACTAAATAGTATGTTGCCAAGATAATTTTTGATTAAAGTTATTGTTCTAATAAGATATACTTTTTTCTATTACAATATATAACTTAATTGATTACAATAATTATTTTTGTACAATTTCATTTAATAATTTCATTTTCTTTTGAGGTTTACTAATCGAGTTTCATAATTAGACAGTTTTAATATTTCAATTGATGTTACAAAAGCTCAGTTATCATACTAATGAAGTATAACTGTAAGACTACCATTTGATTTATTTAAGTACTTTTTAATTTGTGTATTAATATTATTCGAAATAGGACTTATGTGTAATAATCTTGACAGCTTTCCCTAACAATCCCTCAAGCGCAAACAAAAAATTTCAATTGAGTGATCAAATCTGCAGTAATTAGATGTAGATAAAAAAAAACCAACTTTAAAGAGTTAATAGTGTGTCATTATTAATTAGAAATTTTGTCGAATACGTTCACTTTTATATAAATAAAAAATAATTATTTTTATAGTATCATTTCCTTTTTCATTTTTTTTTCGTATCTTCAATGGATGTACGTATAAATCATTATTATAAAAATGTTTACCAATGTAATTACGCTTTATTTTGCTTCCGTGAGTCGCGCCCAGAGTTCAACTAACTTAACTTCCTGCACTCATTCACTCGTAAATCCTCAGCAACTTGCAAACGCTTGACAATTATGTATTTTTAATTTAAATATTTTTCTTATTATAGATGATTAAGTTAAAAAACTGATTATTTATTGGATAATAACTATTTATGTTTGATATTTTCTTAAGAAACTCTTCTATACATATGTATCGGTTGTTTAAAAAGTAGGTGAATATTTTCACCCTACGTAATTTCACCTTTTCAAAGTAATCGACACTTTAAACCAACTATGAAGATTTATGATCAAAAGAATGCAAATGGAAATTTTTATTAGAGAGTTTCGAATATAAACAATAAACATCATCATGTTAACAAACAATTTAATCGATTTATGAAAATACTTATACAAATTGAGAATAATGTTTTATCATATTCTTTTATTACTTTCCCTAATAATGGTGATTTTAAAAAAAAAGGTAATTTCTATTACTCTAAATAAAATGTAAATATGTGCAAGGAAGCATGAATTAAAATAACGAAATATTCCTTATTTCACTCAGACATTAGAAATAATTATAGTGATAATAACTCACGCGCTGAATTATAATTATTTATGGTTATTGTTATTATATTGTTATTTACTATCAGCTTATAATTTTTAGTGTAACTGTTACTGTTATTGAAATAGTATAAGTAAGGTAGAGTACACGTGAAGCAAATAAATTAGATTTTCGAGCTACTACATATTGCGTCCGCACAAGGGAGAAGCATTAAACGATAGGTAAAGTCCTGAAAGCGCGACGGTTTTGCCCGTTTTCATTGGAGGCATCACGTAAAATCGAAAGTTTCACGACGTAAGACTTCATTTTCTGAGCATATCGCACTCTACATTCGGTATAAATAATAATTAATTACATTCCTACAGCATAAAAATCTATTTACGATTTGTAATTAAAATTAAACATTGAATTAGAAAAGTGATTTCCAGAAACTTAAAAGAAATTTTCCTATTAATAATACTCCTACATTTATACTTTCATTTATAAAGAAATGTTTCTTTCATTTGTTTTTATATAATCATTAAATTTACAGTTGATCAGTAGATATATGTTTAAGACTTTTTTTTTAAATTATGAATGACGTTTTTCGATAATAATTATTTATTAAATATAGACATTATTTATAAATATAGAAATGATATGAAGTAACTTTGACAACAAAGCAATCATTAAATGACATTTTCAACAACATATTATTTTCTTTAAATGTTGTGAATTTTTCTGGCGTAAGCCATGAAGAAACTCCATGATTATATTTCTTTTATTTAGTTATCTAATACTTTATTATTCATCATGAAGATGAGAAACTAATTTATTAAATTTGTTTTCAGATTATATCAATTCGACCTGAATTACTACAAGGATTCTGTACTGCTCAAAATGTTGCAATTTGGCTTCCTTTAATTAAGGATACTCTGCTACCAGTGTTTTTGGCAATTTTCGATAAAATGTTTTGCCGATATGTTGCTAAAGTTTATACCAAACAGGATAACTTGAGGAAATTAGCTCATTGTGAGTTTAAAATTTATTAATTTTAAATATATCTTGTAATGAGAATTAATTAAATTATTAGAAATGATTTCATATATTTTGTACTAAGGTGGAATAGATGGAAAATTCAGACATTTTGAACAAGATACAGAATATAAACTTCAGTTGAATTTAAATCATGGACTAAAATTTCCTTTAACAAATGGGAGTCTGTATGGAAGAATGCATAATCATCAAAATCGTAGTAAGGATACAATAATTAATTCAAAATGTAAATTTAATTTAATTGACTAAGTTATTTATATTTAAGCAATGAAAAAATATTTTGATGATACCTGTTGAATATTAATTTAGGATTAGCATGAATCTTTAATTTGTTTACAGCACGAACAGGAACAATAACAATGGGCATTCAACATTACCCAAGAACCCAATCATTAAATGATGAAAATAATTATGGGTCGTTACCAGCAGAGCTGACATCATTCACAAGCTCAACATTTGAACCTCGTATTCAGAAAGATTCCAAAGTTAACAGCAATGATGCCCACGCAACCCAACGTATAATAAAATTAAATGAAAATTTTGAGTTTGGCACAAGACGTAAGATTGGAAGTACTGATGTTTTTGGACAAAATATGGAGAATTTAGTTCAACTGGATGAACCGAGAAGAAAGTTTGCAAAAAGTTTAGACGAGATAAGAGAGGAAGGTCCAAAAAAAAGTGAAAAAGAGAAATTTGAGAGTTCAACGAGACAAAAAGAGCAAGAATTTATGAGAAATTTAGTTAGAAGAAATCAAAGTTTTGATAGTACGAAATATCCAAGATTACATTGTGATTCAAGAACCTATGATGTCAAAGATTTGCTAAGAAAAGATAAAAATATGGATTTAAAAAGAGAGTACGATCAAGAAGCAGGATATGAAACATCGGACGATGAGAGTTGCGATTCTAATGGGGATTTCGACGATACTTTGAGTTCTTGTAAAAGTAGAAGTCGAAGCTGCTGTTCTGTTACAACTGTTGCTAATGATGACTTTGAATTTTACCAACGGAAAGGAACCAAGGTAACAACAGCATTTGTTTTATAAACTTCTTGTAATGTTGTGAAATATTGGGATCTGACGTTGAGACAAAGTTCAGCTTACAATAATGTAAGAGTTTCAGAAGCCTTAATTTCATTTTTCATCTTTATCAACATTAGTAACTTATCAATTTATGATAATGATTCGAAATATATTATAATTTATTATTCACATATTTTAGATAATTAACTTTTGTAATTTAATTATTTTCTTATTACCTTCTTTGTATACTAAATAATAATTATTTTTCAATAACCCATACTCAAATGTATAAAGCATTGATAATATTTTTGTCAGATCCCAAATAAATACAATGAAGTTTATTATTTCAGGCTGAAATTTTTCCACCAAAGAAATCGGCTGAGATCAAGATTAATATGCGTTCCTTCACGCCAAAAATCATTGATGATCGGATTGATGGTACAGATAACGACACAAAAAATTCTAATGGGCAACGTGCAAGTGCAAAGCCAATTATCCAGTCATATCAACTGAAAAAAATTACTCCAGGATTTTCAATGAATGACTTGGACAAAATTTACCCCAAGAGAACAAGTGATGTATACTTAACTAGTCTAAAGAAAGATTTTTTTGATAATGGAGACACTTATAGACATAACAACATTGGGGGATCAGCTCCAGATTTAAAAAAAATTTTTATTTCAGAATTTGTTTAATACTGTTAAAATTTTTGTAATATATATTTTCTACATGTAAAATATAAAATAATTAATATAAAAATTAATATTAATATTAAAATGTATATAATGATTGTAAATTTTTATTCTAATATTTATAAATAAATATTAGTCATTTAATAGAATAAAATAATATATTCCAAATTACTTACCTTCCATTTGTTTTGTATTGATGTATAGGATATATAAAACACTTGTGATTATTTTTATATATAAATTTTTATTTTACGTAGTAATTAAAGTATTTTATACAACTATGTCATTTTGGAGTTTGAACAGTTTGAATTTACTTGTGATAATCGACTTGTTAGTAAATACACTTCCGAAAAATAACAGGAACAGTCATATAGATAAAATTATACGACGACAAAAAGTCTTTTAAAATTACTGAAGTGATTGATGTAAAAAGAGTTCCCCATCTTGAGGTTTTAGGTGTGTATCTGCTGATGTTGTAATAATTCATGAATTATCCTGATTTCGTTTGATTCCTAATTATAAGTTATCATCAAGAACATAAGGAAATATTTTTATGGAAGTTTTAAAGTAAATTGAGGTTCATTTCAAAGACTAAAAATATTAGAAATAAGAGTTTAGAACAAATAATATTTAGATTTGATTCAAAAGAATTTATTTAAAGGATTTCAATTGGTATTAACATAAAATTTTGAATGTTTGATATAATGAGGAAAAACAATCTAAAGAATTTTCAATTTATCATGTATTTGATACAAGGAGATTAAATTGTCAAAGACTGTCGTTATCAAAAATGCATGCCGGAACATGTTTTCCAGCATTGACTATCGTATTACAGGTTGTACCTTCATCACAATTGCAATCGTCGCAGTTATTACAATCAGTAGGAAGATATCCATTAACATTATTTGTATCTGCATCGATTGTGAGTGCCAGGAAGCAGATAATACCAACAATTATAAGCATGCTCTTCATTTTGAAAATTTTTCTAAAATTGTATTAAACATTAAAAGATTTGTAATAAAACTTAAAGATAGATGTACACTATTGATACTCAAATCTTCATAGATTTTTATAGATATATAGTAATCATAAAAAATATATTTTACTTACAGTTAGAATAGTAGCGATGATCACTCTGATGATGCTTTTCAAAAACTATGATTATGGAATACTCATCGAAGCTCTTTTATATTTGATCTTATCTGGTGGTATCTGATTGTAACAATAATTGTCGTAAATATCTCAAGGAATGCGATTATTCAACTCTACTTTATTATTCAATAAAGATATCTATTTAATGGTATGAACACGTGTGTATATGTGTACTCGGAATTATTTTTCGTCTCAATTATTTCTTACAATAATCATTAATTTTAAGTTATCAGTATGTAGATGTGACACACTTGTAACACAATAAATTCTTTTGAATCAAATCTAAATATTATTTGTTCTAAACTCTTATTTCTAATATTTTTAGTCTTTGAAATGAACCTCAATTTACTTTAAAACTTCCATAAAAATATTTCCTTATGTTCTTGATAATAATTTATAATTAGGAATCAAACGAAATCAGGATAATTCATGAATTATTACAACATCAGCAGATACACACCTAAAACCTCAAGATGGGGAAAAAATTGAAAAGTATCCAGTTTTCAAAATAATACATATTTTAAAAATTTAGTTTTTTAATTTAATTTAATTTTATTTTATGAATTAAAAAATATTTTCATAAATTCAAATCTTGATTTGTTTATGATTTGAACAATTTATTCATCTTTCGGATAGTGTTTATTTATTGACCTGTTTATCTTACTTGATCTGAATAACATTCAATTTGAAATTACCGTTAATCAGTTTTATGTAGAAAACAGAAATTTTTTTTGTAGTTTCTTTTTAATTTTCGAATATACACTCATTAATATCTAATTGTAGTTCATATAAATTTTTAAACTTTTTGTTAATTTGAACTGAAAGTAATATTTGAAAGATGCTTACTCAATTGAACAGAATTAAATATGGGCGAACTGAATAAAAGAACCGACTGTAAATACAGCTGTGTCGATAATGATGAAAATCCTTGAGCATGGTATTTCAATTATTCACAATTGTAGTTTTCTAAAGATGGCTGAAGGTTCAGAGTTGTCATTTTTTGATCTCCACATTGTTCACGATAATTTTGATCGTGCACTTGTTGAAGGTGATGATGTCGACATCAAAGCTTATCTCGAGGCTTATAATGAACTCTATAAGTAAGTGTATTGATATATTTTTTTGTTATCAAGTATTATTGATGTTTTTGCGTAAACAATTGCCATGTTCTCCAAGAAACTACTGTCAAAAATTCAACTTTATCAGATGACCATACACAACTAAAATTCTCTGAGTTAACAATGTTGAACCATAAAACTATTACAATTATAATGATAAATAAATTTATTTTTTACAGATTCTTTCAACTTATGGGCACGGTTTTTAGCTTTGTTTCCTCAGACTTAAAACAAAAAATTGATATTTTGAATGAATTATTAAAGGAAAATAAATATCAAACTATAAAATCAATGATTGATCATGAAAAAGAAAATAAATTGCTTGAAAAAGGAGATTATACGAATGGATCTAGAACTCTGTTGCGTCTTCATCGAGGACTTGGTTTGTATTTATTCAGTTTCATTATACAAATTTATTGATTATTCTGTTATCATTAAAACTAACAATAATACATTCAAATATAATAAAACGCTTGCGATTACGAAATTATCAATAACTGACTGATCTGTTATTAATGCACAATTAATCACAAGTTAAGTGTTAGGTCTAACGAAAACTTATTGTCATTTCAGATTTTATTAGAGAATTTTTGAGACAACTGGGAGATTTGAAAGATTCTGAAAAAACATCGAGTTGTTGCCAGGATGCGTACAATAAAACTTTAGCTAAACATCATCCTTGGGTAATAAAGAAAGCAGCTATTGTGGCCATGTATACCATGCCAACTAGAGAAGTATTATTCAAAAAAGTATGTACATATTATGTTTATAATTGATAGTTATATTGAATTAATTATAATCATAAATTGAATCTTATGATGGTAATAAATTTAAACAGGTTTGTGGAGATGAAGTTCAACGTAATATAGATATACTGCCGAAAATGTTGGAAGTAACTGCCGATATATTTAATCGAACACACAATCTTTACGAATTACACGGACTTCACAGTTTACCATAGGAAAAAATTTATTAGTTTAAAATTTAATTTCTCAAGTCTTTATTATGAAAATGCTACTTGATATTTGTGCAATACTTTTATAAAAAATTTTTTTCTTACATTTATAAATGGAATCATTCCAATTTTAATGAAGTATTTGTAATAATGAATTTAGAAAAAACTATGCGTATCATTTTTTTCTACAAGAAAAGTGTACATATTTATTATTATATTGTGATAAGAATGAATTGCAGTAATTATGTTGAAGTACGCAATCAAAAGAATATTTTGCATAGAACAGCACATTTATTGTTTTTAATACTTTTTAATATTTAAGTACTATTTGTTCTTTATAATTGGAGTAATATTTAAATGCTTGATATTGTAGTAGAATTAAGAGAAACTGAAGTATAAGTATCGTCAGTCATTAAAATTCCTGAAAAATTTTACAAATATTTATGAGTGCAATTCAATCAAATGTTTAAAACTTTTGTAAACAATAATTTTTATAACTAGTATATTTTATCAAAAAATAACTTACCAGCAATGGCAGCCGTCAAAAAACAAACAGCAGATCCAGCTATAAAAGCACGAATAGTAACTTGCGCTATCTGTTCTCTTTTATCAGGAGCCATAGAACCAAGTCCTCCCATCATTATACCAATGGAACCAGGATTCGAAAAACCACAAATCGCATAAGTTGCAATTCCTTCTACCCTAGCAGTTAATCGACCAGCTTTTTTAAATTCTCCAAGCTTTTGGTAAGCCACAAATTCATTCACAACAGTTTTCAAACCAATTAACGTTCCAACATCTTCACACTGGTCCCAAGGAATGCCGATAATCCAGCTGAGAGGCATAAAGGCTTTTGAAAGAATGTACTCGAATGTCAATTCAGGAAAACCAACCAATCCACCAAGCCATGACAAAACTGCATTGAGAAATGATACACAAGATACAAAAGCTACAATATTAGCGACAATTCCTAGAACTAGAGGAATTCCTGCTAAAGCTCCTTTTGTAGCTGCATCCATGACACTAGTATCATCTGATTTTTGAAGGGGAATATTTTTAAAGGTTGTTTGACTCTTCTCAGTTTCTGGATAGAACAATTTCGAGTAACAAAGAGCTGCTGGTGCTGACATTACAGAAGCTGTTAGTAAATGAGCAGGATCTGCACCAAAACTTATGTAGGCAGCTAACACTGTCCCTATAATTAATAAATATTTTAATAAATCTTTTGAATAAACAAACATTGAAACATAAATTTTTTTATTATGATTTTTTAGATTACCTGACACTGTAGCAAATCCAGAGCACATTACTGAATGAATTTCAGACGTCGTTAATTTACTTATATAAGGTCTTATCAACAAAGGAGATTCTGTCTAAAAGAAATTTTAAAAATTTCAAGTAATTAAAGGTAAGTTTAATTAATTTAATGCAATACAGTTTCAATTTTAATATTATCGTAATGCAGAAAACATAAATATATTACCATTCCAAGAAATGTATTAGCAGCTGAATTAAGAGACTCACAAACTGTGGTGCCCATTACTACATGTAATAGCCATCCCAGTTTTAAAATAATCCATTGCATTGCACCTAAATAGTAGAGAATCTGTATCATAAAACTAAAGAAAAATATCACTGGCAAAACCTAAAAATATTTATAAATTAAAATTTTCAGTAGATGAATTTTCATAAAAAAAAAAAATTCAAATACAGACTGAAAATGCAAATATGCCACTGAGTTGTTCGGAGAAAACAAAAGATGACCCATCTTTAGCAAAAGCAAGAAAAGTAGCAACTTTTTCAGCCATACATTGAAAAATAGCTCGTCCAGCAGGCCAACGGATTGTAATTAATCCAAAGCCAAATTGGAGTATCAAACCCCATATTACTGGTCTCCAGTTCACCTGTAGAAAAAATAAACTGTCTTTAATGCAATGAAAATAGAATCTTAATAAAAGGAAATATATATTATGTAGATAAGTAGATAGAAACTGGGAAGATATGAAGAATCTGGTTTCACCTATGATCTTTAAAAATTGAATAGTTTCTTGAATGCGCATTACACGAAACATTATTTATACTACAGAATGGATATGTGTCTTCTAGCTTACATAATATTTTTAATTCTAACGAGTACAATACCTGACGAGGATATTTTGAAAAAACAAATCCAAATGTCATCAAAACTACAACTCCAATTCCGCTGATTAGTCGTTCTCTTGATTCGATAGTATCAAAAATTAAAAATACTATAAATCCAATTGCAACAGCTGTATAAAATATTGTTTTGAAAACACAACATGCGTATCTAAAAAATATAGATTTGCAGATTAGTTACTGATACAGAAAAAATATCTGAGTCAACTAGAATATGTACTAATCGATTGATCGGTTATGAAATTTTTTCACTATCAGAAGAATGTTATTGATAAGTAGATGCATAAGTAAATTAGAATAATTAATCTTAGTGACCTTTTTTTACTAATTGAGTCCAAAGATAAGCTAATAGGACGAGTAAGTCGTTTTATGGATGATGAAAAGTATCTCTTAACGATATAGTAGTAGCAAAGGCCTAAATAGGTGAGTCCTACTAATAATAGAAGCATTCCATAGCCATCACACCATTCAAAAACGCAATTATTGTCTGCAAAAAATTATTTCAATAAATATTCCATCTTTTTTTATTGATAAATAATCTTAGCTATGAATTTTCAAAACTTACTGTGCTTAGACCAATGTAAACTGGCAAAAATAAAATAAATTAACACCAAAATATGTAAAATTAAAATTGCAATGTATTTTCCTAGTCCTCGATTCCTCGAAAACCATGACCCATTTAATGATGTCGTTTTCGATAGATTTTCTCCTTTCTATAAAATATAGGTTTGTTATCGTTAAAAAATTCTAATGCACATTTTAAAAAACGATAAAAAAGTGTTAATAATTTTCGTTAGATAACATACCTCGAGGTAATGACTATCGCGATAATACTTTTTTTCTTCACTCATGTCGGCGTCATTTTGCTAATAAAGTATGACAAAAATACACAGATTATTTTTTCGTTCTTTAAAAAATTAAAATTGAATTATTTCATAGTGTAAATGAATAATATTTATAAAAATATAAATACCTCTACACTAAGATCAACAGAGAGTCTCAAACTATTACTGCTAATTCTCCTCTCAACCTGTAAAAAGAAAATAAAATTCAATTGAAAAAAAAATAACTCAGCAATCAATTAAATTGTTAGTTTATATCTGAATAAATTACAGTAATTACCTCATTAAATGCTGGACTTGCTATTCCTGCCATTGTCACTGTTTTTAATTATTAATAAAGTTTAAACTGATTAGATAGATAAGTGTTTCAAATGGAATTAATTGAATAATTATCATTAATGATTGCTCATCATCACGAATGAATTGCTCATTTATGAAGTGAAAATATTCATTCAATTAATAATCGATATTGATATCTAAAGTCAAAGTAATTAGATAATTAATTATTATTTTAATTTTTTATAAACTTTTATAAAAAAATAATTGAACAAAAAAACCTATCCACTAAGAAGCTAAAAGTACTTATAAGTTTAAGTCGTGAGAAAGATAGCCGAAGACTGAGAATTAAAACGACGATATCAGCATCGAGATGTCGTTAGACGTTTTCATAATCAGTCAACTGGAATACAAATATGGATGAATTATCTTCAATTATTTACACGGATAACAAAATCATAAAACCATAATAATTGTCACTAATTGTTTACCTCTCAATATTCACTCATTAACTGATAATATATTACTATTAAATATAAAAGAAAATGGTATCATTTACTTTTATCAAGTAAAGAATATTTATATTATGAAATGGCGTTCGATTCAACGAATTAACTTGAATGAATTGAGTTAAAATATTATCAAGGACAGTTCTATTAATTTTTCTATCAGATATATAGAGGTTTTGATAATTCTATAGTAATGTCAGATTAATGACGAGAAATTAAAAAATATTTTTTTATCTTTCAACATCTTAAGTACAGATTTATCAATCTTTCAAATAAATACAATTTTTTTTTATTATTTCATTACCGCTGATTTTAAAGACTAAAATCACTGGTTTAAATTAAATATTTTTTATTGTTTACAATAGAGTTAAAGTTTTTTAATCTATTAATCATATTTTTCACTTTAATTCATTATTAGAGAATGAATAGTTAAATTTAGATGGATATATGTATACTTGTATGTTGCACTAGGTTGTAAATTGCAGTGTAGTATAATATTCATCATTTTTTATCACATTACATCGTATAAGACAAAAAAGAAGTTTCGTGTAATAATGATGCAGAAAGACTGAATTTCGCTGACAAAAAATAAGATTGGTATACGTTGACATTTTTAACCAGTTTACCAGTTACGATGTTGCTGCTACTACTATGCATATTATTTATTAATGAATCTAAAGTCCTTGACCGAAGTTTGTTTACTACAACGAAAGAATAATAATCCTTACTTCCTTTTATAGAATGAAGATAACGAATTAAATGAAAAACATTTTATTTCAACGATCATTTCACGTAACTAAATATTACAAAGTATCAAAAACCTAGCACGCGACACCGATCCCCGGAAATGCATCAGGTTTTTACTGCTTATTATCAGATTAATCTACATGTAATTCACTAATATTAATGTCAGTATTATCGGACTTCTACTCCAGTTTAGTAACGAGAATAATTAATATTAACAGAAAATGGTTTATTCAATTGATATTCTTTTAGATATTTATTTTTACGATTTATTAGTAAAATTTTTATCACAATACCTTAGAATTTTTATATTTATATATAAACTTCAAATTTATTTGGAATAAAAAGATGAAATATTTTTTATTCTAAATTTCAACTTGAAATTTCAGGGTTAAGTGTATTCTTTGATCTTTCTAGAGGTGTAGAATACGAAAATTTCGATTTCTAATGTGCTCCAAATCGAAAACAATGTTTAATCTCGACTCGACATCTTCGACTCATGTAGGAGGCTTTAATGTTTAAGCAATGACCATTTGAAAAATACAAGACAAATATTTGAAAAAATATCAAAATCAATCGCAAGATTGACACAGACTTGTTGATTGTTATCTCCAGACCCAGATTTTCAGTAGCAAAATAGTTTCATAATATAAAGATTTAATGTAAAATTAAATTTCCATATTTTGGAGTTGTTTCTATTTTTTTAGATTTAAATAACATGTGGGTGGTCTATTTATCCCTGAACTTTTGATTTAATTTAACATTTCTCACTACGTACCTGATCTATTCACGTCAATTTTACTTTTTTTCAAATAATGAAAAAAATGAAGTAAACAAAATTCCTGCTATTGGATGGATAAATAAATCTTCATTTTTTTAAATAGACAATTATTATCATATATTTATATTCAATAAATCTAATGAATCTTTAGAAAGTTATCTTATTCGTAAGCATGTTAAAAAAAAATGGCTAAAATGTTCCATCAATCTCAATAGTATTTATTCCATGGAATTGAATGATTTATTTTTTCTTTCATTTATCGTTTATGTACGAATTCGCGTGAAATGCATGCAGAAAGACGAGCACGCATGCTACGTCATTATTTTGGTACGTCTAGACGCCAGATTGTCTGTTCAACTGAGAGACAACACGTCTTCTTCTTTTACAACTTTTTCATCATCATCGACATCATCATTATTATCAATTTTCAACGTCAGGATATTTTTTCAAATGTCTTAATAATTTAATAAGTGATACTAATTTACTATTTTATCGAAACAATTACCATTCATTAGTACTGAAAATCATTATTTGAAAGAAATTCTAGTCTAAATAAACTTTTGTTGAAGACTTCTATTATTGTGCTAAGAATAATTAAAGTTATTAAATTATAAGGAGGGAAAAAATCGTCATTTAAGTTAGCTGTGAGAACATGAAGAATTTGCAGACTTGGCAAAGTACACATTCCGTTAGATACCGTTGGCAGAAGTGAAACCTGGCATGCAATTTTATTTAATTTAACTTTAACTATTGCCAAGTAAATGTTGAAACGTGGGAAAACAAAAAATTTTTTTTTTGCTATTTTTATCTTTTAATATATTTCTTTTCATTTTCAGTTAATTATAAAAAAATTTCACACCTCGTTTGTGATTTTTTTTTCAATTTATTTGCTTTTAAATTATTTATCAATTGTTTTCATTTAATTTTTTAGGAGTTGGAAACTTTTGATACAAGAATCGTATTTAGGTCGACTTACTTTTGGAGTATTTTTTTTCGCACTATCTGAGGGAGAGAAACAAACAAATTTGTTTGGTCATTGACGTGATATTTATTGAATGAATTATTTTTACCTTTTTTTCAATTGAGTATGGAATAATATTTTAAAATATAATCAACTCAATGGATAATTAAATTAATTAACTTTTAATGACTGTTTACATTAAAAAAATAAAATAATTACGAGAATAAATGAAATCGAAAGTTATTTATATAAATGAATGCCAAATACAAAATGCATTTTTTTAGTATTTTTCGACTATTCAGACTCACATGTTATCAAGTATTTTTGAGCAGTGTATTTTGCGCGGGAAAATATAAATAAAGTGAAAAAACGGGAAGGAATAAAGGGAGGAAAAAAAAGATTGCAAAGATGACAGACAGAAAAAAGACAGAAAGCTCAAATGGACTTACACGTGTGTCCATTTCTCTCTGTCTCCTCTTTCCCCTTTTGCTCACTTTGTCTCCTCAATATCTCGCCGCTGGTTAGTGCGTACGCGCGGAGGCTGTTTTATTGGAACGATACATTATGATTCAAAGATCATATCTTTCGAATCGTCTAGACAGCGGGGAAGGGAGACACCTCTATAAAGCCGTATGGGAGACTCGTGCAGGGGCAAATCCCAAGTGACAGTCAACGAAATCTTCCTTAAGCGATTTTTAACTTTTATTAAAAATAAATCATCTATTTTTATAAATATCTTCGCGAAGAATACCTTTTTTTTTGCCAATAGCAACTACTAAATCTCAAGTAGATCATCATCGAATGAAAATAATCATTATAATAATTCAGGTAGAGATTATATTTTTTGCATCATCTAATGAATGAAAGTTGTGAAAAAAATCATAATTAAAAGGAAAATAATTAAAATAATTTTTTTTTACTTTTTGAATTAAGAAAATATAAGTACAATTTGAAAGAAGAAAAATCAAAGGGGTTCTCCAAAACAAAAAGTTAAAATTAACATAAGCAGAAGTGTGAGAAAAAATTTTTTTTTTTTGGTAAAAAGTGGGATCTAATCTTAAAGTGACTCCTCTTTCACTTACCTTCATATTTTTCTTACTTTCCTGCGCTCTCTTCTCGCGTTAGAGTCGCGTTGTCTCTCGGAATTATGCTTTCGTGCCGCACCGGTCGACTCAGTTGAGACTTACAGCTCGTGCCGTCAAGACACCGTCCGCTTAATCAATTTAAAAAAAAAAACAAACACTTTCAATTAAATCCCCAAGATAATAAGTTTAAAATCAAAGTAGAAGATAAAGGAGAGTAATTAAAAAATTAATTGACACTTAAAAAGTGATTTTTGTGAAAATAATTTAACTTTTTCGTGAAAATGATGTTTAAGATAATATAATTATTTATGTAAAGAATAGAATTAGTTTAATAATTGAATAAATAGTGAGTGAATAAATTTTAAGAAAAATGAGCTATAAGAAATTAATAATTAGTCTGTTGATGCTGAGCATCATCACCACGTGCGTCTCGAGTCGTAGCCAGGGATATTCGAAGAATGATATTGAGTCATTGAAGAAAGTAAAAGAACGGTTACGAAGAAGTTTTCATGATGCAGAAGAAGAAAAAACAGTGCCATTTAGCCCGAAGACATTAGAAACCATGCTGGAGAAAGCAATTCTAAAGATTATCACTGGAGACTTGAGTACTGGTGACATGTTACTTTTAAGAAGTTTAAATTATAGCCTGGAAGAAGTTTTAACGATTCGCGAGAGAGAATTGGCTAAAAAAAATGATAGAGAGTCGAAAAATCGTAAGAAAAATAAACACAATTCTCAAGAGAATGAGGATAAAATAACAAAAAACTTTGGAGAACCTGAAGAAGAATTTGAAGAAGACTCAGAGGAAGATGAAGATGTTATTGATGTTGATGCTTACAATAGACAGGCTGTTTTGGATTATGAAAATTTGGCTAATAAAATGGAAGCAGAACTAAAAGAATCTAGAGAAAAAAATTCTGGCATTGAAGATAAAAATAAAGATATTCAAACTGATAAACATGTGGCATTTGATGACGCTTTAGAGCCTCGAGTAATTTTTAAAATTCGCTACAATGATTCAGATATGAATTCTGTAATTGAAAACAATGAACAAATTGTTAAAAAAAATACTATTGATACAAATGTGGAAAAAAATATTGGATCTTCAGCATCAAGTGATTTTTATTCTAGTATGTGGAATCCCTTTCATTCTTCTGAGTTGTCTACACTTCCTATTCCTTATCAATTAAGTGTTTCTGAAGAATCATCAAAAGAGAAACAAAGTAATTCAACTAAAAATGTTGAAAAAGAGAATTTGGACTTGAAGAATGAGAACGTGAATGCAACAAGAAGAATTCAGGAGTATGAAGGATTGGAGTGGGTGGAAGATGATGTTTATAGGGTTGTACCGGAGGCATTGAATGATGAAATGGAGAATGAAGAAGTAATAGAAGAGTTTCATTCGTTGAATTCTTCGAATGAAGAAATGGCTAATGATGATCTTGGATACCAAGCAAATTCAAATTTACCTCAAGAAGATGGAGCCTCTTCTTGGAATGATAATGGAGTTGGGAATTTGTCGACTTATCAGCAGCTCGCTTTAGCACATCGTCGAGAGTAAGTCAAGTTGAATAACATTTTCAGATTCATTTTAGTAGTTAGTTTCAAATTTTTATCATCTTTGTATTATTTAAATACTACTTTTTCACTTGGGTACTTCATGATTCTCTAATTTCTCTCTCTCTATCATTCCAGTGGGAATCAGTCGAGCTTCGACAGGTAAGTCTGAAGCTCATGGGTTGATGGCTTTTATTAAGTATTTTTTAATGATTTCCTGATTTTGTTGAAATTAATTGTATTCATATGAAAATTTCATCCTTAATTTTTGTTTCAAATATTTAATTTTTTTTAAATATTTAAATAGATTAATCTAGCTAGTAATGAATGTATTGGTTTTATAATTAAAGTTACATTTTTTAATCACGATTGAAATATAACATTTGTAATTTTCCTGCATATTTAACTGCATATCTAACCGACATGATGCTGAATGTATTTTTACACTCGAAGCTTTGCCAAAATAATTTGAAACCTTGGCACAATCAGAGATATAGTTACGAGAAAATATTAATCAAATCTCTCTGCAGTCTTGAATTAGATAATCGTTTTTTCCTTCACTTTCTCGTTATCATTTATATTGTTTTGAGAATAAAATAACATATAATTAATTCTATTTTAACAACTGGTAACAAAAATGTTGTTATTACCGGTTTGAAAAATAAAGACAAAAAATAAATAACTAACGTTCCCGTAAAATCGTTGAACCTCAACCGTAAAAATATCTCGGGGCGTCTCGCGCCCTCGCGTGAGCAATATTTTCGTCCGGACCCCACGAGAATCTGCATTTTCAACTCGTTAAACCGTCGAAGCTCTTAAGGAGAGAAAAAAAAACTGAAACAAATATATTTAACAGTTTACTAAATTTTTTTAATATTGCCCCCAACGGTGCCCCTTTACTGTCTCCCTTCCATAACATATATACATACGTGTAGTTTCCCCCAGTCATCTTCCCATACCTCCCCATGTCTCCTCTTGTTGTTGCCCCTCACGACTCCTAACCAGCTCGTTGGCATTTCTTTTATTTTATTAAGTCTAGACGCGAAAATGCATTCGTGTCCGACACTGGCGTAGTTACCTCTCCCTCTCGCACTCTCCCCCTTTTACTTCTGCTCATCAACGAAAATTTTCCACATGTTCCCCTCACCAACCCATCATCACTCGATTCCGTTGATTCATTTACAAGAGCTCCAAAATATCACTTTCTTTTTATTACATTTTTTGTAACTGATTAAATGAAATTACTTTGCAATCAAAAAAATGCCTTTTAATTAAGTTGATTATTTGCGATCTCTTGCTGGTGATAAAGTAACGTAAATGACAGAAAAAAATGTAAGGAAACGACAAACGAGAGTGAAATGATACGAAAAACGACATAGAGTAGAAGAAATGGACTGTGTAATGGCAAAAAGGATATTAATTTCAGTCAGACGTCTAGGAAATATTTCTAAAATAATTCTCAAGCATTAGATATGAGAATCTAGGTCACTTCCTCCTCCTAGGGTCCATGCTGTTTTTTATCCCTTTTTTTATGAGTCTCTCTCGACACCCAGACTTACTATGACTAGGAACACATTCATTTATATACGTATAAGTCGTGAGTCTTCGCCCCCAGACTGGGACCAGACGGGTCACGTACGAGACGCGATGCTGTAGAATGCCCGACGCGACTAGATTGACACGCGCATGCTTGGAATCAAGTGTCTACATTATTTTTTGACTTATGCATGCTCCAAAATAATAACCTATTATTTAATCAAAATAAAAAAAAAGATTGCTCAATGTTTTTATCAATGAAAATATACAACAGCACTACAATCATCCATTTCTGGATGTTTTATAATCCACCAAGGGTGACTAACCTTCTGATGAATCACAGAGGAGAATTTTATTAAATACATAGACCAAAAATTATTAATATTTTAAAATGCTAATCAATTTTCATGAAATAAATATTTGCAATTTTATCCAAATAAATTGACGGAATAGTTATTGGGTGAAGTCGGTAGGGATACCGCGAGAATGAAGTCGATTTTAGTAACAAAGTTAAATGGAAAAATTGAAAGAATAAAAATCAAGACATCAGCCTTGTAAATGAACAGGAGCAGGGAAAGGATAAAAGATTGAAGGCTTTAAGACCTCGAAAGATGAAAGGAGAGAAAGGGAGTAAGAGCAAACAGAGACAGTCCGATGGACAGACAGTCAAGGGAATCGGGTGCTGACGTTTCTCCCTGTCTAGCCGGTGTCTAGATCGTAATAACGAATGCCTCTGGCCACGCGGCCTGTCTGGGTCACTGACCATACCACTCACCATTCCACTCTTGCTGTAGCTGTGCCTCATTCCAACTAGTTTACCCACTTTTAGCTCTAGCCTACGTCCAAGTGTTTTTCTTACCAGCCCCCAAGTGTTGTTGAAACATATCGCATGTTACGTCTACTAGATATGATCATTCAAAACTAGGTCTTATTTTTTTCTCCAGCCAGGGACAAAAAGCCATCGAGGACATTAAGCTCAGAGTTCTTGCAATGACTGGAAGATTCAACCTTACCTCCAACAGCAATCAGATTCAACGAGAAAGGCTCACCATGTTTTCACCAATATGTGAGTATTTGAATTTTATGATTATGTTTAAGAAGTCTATCATTTCCTTCATAAATATATAACATGTTTTGGTATAAAAATGTTATGTCACTTTGAATTTTTTCTGAAATAAATGATTTAAATGTAGTGTAGCTAAAAAAATTTAATCTTTAAACTCTCTAAATTGTCTAAGCAAATCTTTTTTATCAGATTTTTATTAGTTTAAATAACACTTTTATAAAAAATAATTTTTTTTCTAGAGCTTTGAAATGTTATTAAATATTTTCTTAATTATTTTCAATGAATGATTTAGGTCAAATTCCAAGGAATACTGATTTAGATGTATGGTCTGATCAACTTCTAATGAATATGTACTTTCAATTAAACCTTACGTCAGAAGACCACGTGGTAGCAGCTAGACTAAGGATTTATAAGCTGCCTCAAAATAATACAACACCTTCCAGCACTACCAATCCCTTCGAAGAAGATGAGGAAGAAGAGAAAAAAATCAGGATATCAATTTACTATTACACAAGATCATTAAAAAAACATCGATGTATGTTTAGTATTTTACTGAGTGTTGAAAATATTTCGATAAAAAATAGTAATTATATTAAATTAAAAATTATATTTTCAGCTAAAAAACGATTGATGGACAGTGTGGTAACACCATTGACATCAGAAGGAAGTCATTTAGCTCTAGATGTGAGACAAGCATTAAGATTTTGGAGACAAACACCACGAATTCACGGAAGTAGTACTAATCATGGATTGGTGATTCAGGTTGAGGATCAAGATGGAAGACCATTGAAACCATCGCTTTATATTCAACAGGACTCTTGTCACTCCAGTGGAAAAAATACAGATAACAAGGCATGTGAGTGTGTGCGCTAACAGGACTAACTGCTGCTTTGTTTCACAATGTTGTTGATGCATTTTTGAGCGTTCGATAACATATTTTTTTTAACAATTTTTCAAATAATTACAAGCATGATTGAATGACGATACAAGATTTTTTGAGAAAAAGGATACAATAGATATAAATATAACATGAAATCGAGCACGAACATGTAATAAAATATTCGCAATTGCACAAATGAGAAACTATTTAATCAATTTCTTTTTTAAAAGAAACATTGATTTTAATTTTTTTTTTCTTTACAGACCAACGCGTCCCTGCACTCTTCCTTCGAGCCTGTTCTCGTTACGTTCGCGTCGTAAAAGGAGAAGCAATAACTTATGTAAATTGCAAACACATTACACGTAACAGGCATCGATCGTGAAGATGAAAAAAACGTCGTAAATAGTTTTAGATAATTAATTAATGAAATATTATAATAAAAATAGATTTATTTAAAAATAATAATAGAGAGAAGAAAAAATTTTAAAAATCTTAGTAATACAATTAATTAAAGAGAGTAGTATTTATAAAGAAATGTAGAGAAGATTTAATTTTATAATAATTTCTTCATATCTTTTCCCTTTATTTTTGTATGTAAATAGTGAAAAATAATTAAGAAATTATTATTATTATTTACTTAGGAGTTTTTGTAATAAGTTGCTTTTACCGTAATGACTGAAGTAATATTTTTAATAATATAAATGTAAATTTACTCTGTTTTTTAAGAAAATGACAAATAATGAATAATTATAATAAGTTGTGTATATAATGTATATTTTTGTTCTTCAGTAAAAAAATAAAAAATTTAATCGAAAGTTGATAATCTTGTAATGAATTTTTTATCTATTTCAATAATTTTATTATAATGATCTTTGAATTAATTACAGAAATTGTTCATTTGTCGTTAATAATAAATGTTAAAAACAGATTATTCAAAAGGATATAAATTTTAAAAATAAGGAAAGTTGTATTTAAAAGAAATGCATAAATTAATGCACTTGCAAGAATCACGATTATTAAGGAAATTGAATTACTGATGATAAATTAATCATTAATGACGACAAATTGTCTGTAAGATTCAATTTTTTTGTAAATCCTATACTTTATTAATGAATGATAAATTCGAAATTATGCATATCGAAAATCAACATCGCAATTTAAACAATGATTAACTGTAAATAAAGTAGAAAGTTGCACAAATAACTCACTTGATAATATTAAAAATTTTACACATACAGCTGTAAAGATTCCTCCTACTCCAACGACCTATTTGATGATTCCTATGACGCAAACTCAAGATCACGTTTACCAATCAGCTGATTTTACCTATACTTTTGCTTTTCCCATCAGTTGAAGTTTACAAAGTAACATCCGATGAGTTTATGTATTTGAATACAACACATTAGAAAAAAAAAAAGAAAACAAGTAACGTCATATTTGCGTTGTACAGTTTATCGAAGTGATTAAAATAAAAAAAAAACTTGTGCATTTTTTGCAATCAAAATTAATATAAAATTTTTATTCAAATTAGTCTATTTTCAATTGTGATGATTTAATTTTCATACCGGCGAAAAGAGAAAGTGCATTTGTTTTTAGTGTTTAGAATGTTTTGAATTAACTATAAATAGTTTGATAAGTGTATTTTTATGATTTTTAAATTCTGTCTAATCATTGAGTTACATAGACAAACAGAAAAAAACACACAATGGATGAAAAAGACCTTCATCTTGCTCAAGCCATGGTTGGTCTTGAGATGAATGATAAAAAAGCTAAATCTGTCGTTAGTAGAATGCAAGACAAACAACAAACTTTTAGGTAAGTAAAATTTTTAATAAAAAAATTACTATATGTTTTTTTTCACATGTTTAATTTATGCATAATAAACAACAGTAATTAACTTAATAAGATAGTAAATAACTGTTTATCCAGATGATAAGTTGTTAATTAATAAAATAAATTTAAAGTGTAAATTATATAGAGTTCAAGATTAAAAGGAGCAATCTCTATCAATGCGATGGTGGTGTAATGGTCAGCATAGTTGCCTTCCAAGCAGTTGATCCGGGTTCGATTCCCGGCCATCGCATATTTTTTTTTACTTTTTGAAATTTAAATTTCACATGTTTTATGTGAACAAAAAGTAAATTGTCAAATTTAACATTGTTATTGTTTATAAACAATAAGTTCAGTTCCGATAATAATAAAGTTATGTAATGAAATATACTACACGGGAAAAAAATATGAAGAAATCGTTTCACTTGTTTTTATGACAAATTCCTTTCACTTGAGCTCTTAAAAAGTTTATCATCAGGCCTTGATATTTAATTATTACGAAAGTATATTCTATGTAAGTTATCTAACATATATAACTATATTTTTCTGTCTCTTTTTAAAGCCAATCGGAGTTAAGTGTTGAGCAGACTGAGCCTCGGAGGTAAAATTTGAATTTAAATTTTATGTGTTGTAAATATTACCAGATGGCTCTGTAGGCATGTTTTTGATGATAAAATAAAAGTCTTTATTATCGACTGAAATTTTTATTCAGTTGGTATAAATTTATTTTGCACTAATTGTCAGCATTGTTGTGTATTGAAGCTTTTCACGTTGTTATTATGTGTTTGTATCGCTTTTAGCTTGCAAAATTTGTTGTCCAATAGCTCTTATAACATGAAAAATATTTAACAATTAATTAATTGAATGTCTAATTTCATAAATATGTCAAGTATCAATGTATGTTTATTTTGTACATGATGTTTGCATTGCGTGATAGTTTTTATTTTCTTCACTCTCTCTTGTAAGTGTATTTCAGTTTCGCACGCGTCGACAGTCGACACGTTTGACGACACACTTTCTTCATAGATTACACATAAGAACACTTGTAGAAGAGTCACTGTAATTTGTTTATGAGTGGATAGTTGAGAAATTGTGAATATTAATAGATGAAAATTGTAATATATCATAAAATTTTCTTTGGATTATTCTTAGTGATTCATTGTTTATTTTTATTTATTGGCTCGCAAAAAATTCAAGAAATCATTTAATATAAAAAGTGTTCTTTAAAACGTCTATCATGTCATTATCGCCATCTGGTAGCAGTGGATTTCATTCTATGGAAGATTTGTCTACATGGTAAGATTTATAAAATTTTATAAATATTGTGTAACGCATGAATTATTTGTTGGAATGCATCAAGATCAAGTGGGAGAAAGATTCAACAACTTTATAAATATATCTTGCATCTACACTACATTGTAATCTGAAATTATTATTTTATTATTTTTACATTCGATCATTGTAAGGGGAATAATTTTTTTATTTACTATTGAAAATTTATTAATTCACTACGCATTTTATTTTGAACTAATTACTTTAATGAGAGAACGTACTCGAAATTAAATAAATTACTTATTAATTTAACTTTTAAATTCTTTATATACACATGCATGCTCGATTATACTAAAAGTTAAACTTATACAATATTATGCGTAATAATACATTATGTCAATTAACCATCATTCATTCTTCAAAATTCTAGAATATTTATAACTTTGCGAATTGATCATATTCTAGAAAATGTAAAAATTATTCTCAATAATTTTCAACACAGTAGTTTTATTTTATTTTTTTGATGTCACAATTTCCTATGACGAATATGAACTTTCAATTCAGTCATTTACAAGGGCATATATCAGATTAAAAATCCAGTAAAATAAGTTATTTAATACAACTTACAAATTTACTAATTGTCCTTCGGTATTTAATACACTTAGGTTATCATCAGATTAAATTTATCAGTATCATTATTTTTCTCCAATAATAATCTCATGAAGTTAAATTAATAAATGTGTATTGATGAAAAAGATTCAGTTAAGTTGCATGATGCGTTTCGTAAGGAGATTTATTGGTAGTAGATTTAAACTTTCTCGATGTTTAATAGTCAACCACAATAATAACAGGTACTTGAGGATATTGACCCCTTACACGTGTAATAGGGGGGAAATTTAATCAAATTTTCAAAGGATGTTAATAGTTTTAATTAACATCTGTGTGAGGCTTTAAATATTTTCAGAAATTATATTCTGACTTATTTACACAATTTTTTACTTATTTTAATGAGAATTAAAAACACTCTCAGAAAATTTCATCAAAACTCTTCTGTGATACATGTAAAGAGTCCCCTTTGCTAGAACGAAGATAAATTGATAGTTTTATTGATCTCTGTAAGTAAGTAATAAATACTTGTATATTATTGTTGCTATTTTATTGATTGGTTATTATAAACTATGCAAAAAACACTGCACTGCCCGGGAATCGAACCCGGATCGCAAGGATGGGAGTCTTGCATGATACCACTACACCAGCAGTGCTCCTCGCGAACATTTAGCATCTATTTAGCTAAAAAATAGTATCATAACAATCTATTAATAGTCCAGCACAGTATTTTGTAATTCACTCTTGTATTTGCGTCAAAAAAGAATTTTACTCCAAAAAAGAATCTGTTAATTGAAATGATATTTAATAAAACATAATTAATGAGTAAGTCAGTCTTTTGTTTAATTATGTGATTAGCTTAATGTCAAAGTCTCATGAAACTCTCTCGTATTAAAAAAAGAAAAAAAATGAAAAAATGAAGAATCTCGTGAAAGAATTTCTTCAAATAATTTTATGGCACAGAATTGAAAAGCCTTTTAGATATTTTATAAAATTGAACTATTAGTGACGATTGTTGTTTAGAAAATAATAAAAAAAGTGAAGTTTGCAATTATTCTTCTGTCAATTGTCAAAAGAATTGGCAATTCGTTGCGCTTTCCTGTTTTATATTTGTTACATTATAACATACATTGAGTATGAGAAAGTATCTCAAGAATGGTAAAAAATTGAGATTCGAGAAAAGAAATTTCCCTTCTTTTGTTTATTTGTGTAGAAAGTGCAGAGTCATTCATATTTTATTGATAATTCCATAATTAACTGAAAATTCGTTAAAACTGTTTTTTAAGTAATCAACAGCAAGGAATTTTATTACACCATAAGACAAGAATTTTTTTTTCTTTCTACATTTTCTCATATAAGAAATAATGTCTCTCTGGTTTTAAAAGCCAAGCCCCAGATCTGCTTTAAGTCTGCCAGGTAATTTTGTAATATCTACACTTACTACAGCACTAAATGTCGATCATTTCCATACCGCAATCACACATAACATTGCAGACAACTGGTTTGTCCGAGTTTATATGCATTACGCATGTGACGATACCTACTACTGCTTATACGTCTGTTCCTTACATAATTCTCGAACTCTCCCGGGCTTTTTTCATCTCCAACTTGAGACTTTAATCCTTGGAAAGTCTGAAAAATTTAGCATCTTAAATTACTCAGATAAAATTTTTTATTCATTTCCAGAAATTAAAACAACAAAATAGTTATTGAATGAAAAAATACTATTATCTCCTCTTAATTATATTTTGCATTATTAGCTAGTAATTTTTCATTTCAATTTTTTTTCCTTCTCACGGATCTAATCACTCTATAAAAATCAGGAAAAAACTTAATAAAGCCCAATCAACGAAATTAATAGTAAACAATTTAATAGCTTATTACCAATTATTTCCTTTTTTTTCTTAATTTGAATACAATTTAATCATTGTGACGTATCGACTTTAGCAAGGTTAAACTGACGTCAATTTTATTTTATATGAAAATTGAAATATAAAATTAAAATGACATTCACTTCAATAGAAAAACTCCATGTAAAAAATAAATTACATATGTATAATATGATTTCTTGTGTAATAAAATGTATTTTTCATCTATTCGATTTAAATAGTGAATTAATTACATGCCATGTGAGGTATTGTATTCTGTTGAATTATATATCAATGTAATGTTTTCATGCCGGACAATGACCTAAATATTCATCGTTCTTTTCTGCGAATTTAACGCACATCCGCAGAATTAATTTTTTATATAGATTAATCAGTATACGAATCTACGACGGAGGGGAAATAAATTGTTGACATTTTTTGTAATGACGCTTGTTTTCTAGGCGTCTAAAAATGCGACCTTGACCTCTTTGAAAATGCTAATGATGTCAGGAGAGAAAGTAAAATCAAGGAATTTTTATTAGACCCCATTAATAAAAAAAATTACAAAATCACATTTTTAACATATTCCTTAAACAAGTTAAATTCAGAATATTGTCTAGATTTTTTCTACTGCGTTTAATTAATAAAAAACATAATAAAGACTTTTATTGATCAGGCCTCCCTCCTGAGAAAAGTTGTACTCAGTAACCTAGTTAGAAAATAATAGAAGCTAGTTTTGACCAAAAAGAGCACTCAAATTTTTTCATCATTATTTTTCTTTGTTATTATAATTAATTACGTTGTCGAAACATTATTGATTTTTACTCCTAAACAACTTATCAACTTACTCGAAAATAAAATTATCGCCAGAATTCAGAATGTTATTAAGTATCATTAATTGAATAATTTCTTAATGATAGTAAATAAATAAAATATCGATTGAATAAGCTTCGTTGGAGATTTTTTTCACACTGTTTATACGACCTAGTTTTTTGGACGATAATTTTTCATTTACAATCATTAGTTCGTATTATCGATTAGAAATTACTTTGATGGTTGTAACAACATTATTAAGTTTTTTACGAGCAACATTGTTATAAAAAGTGGAGTATAAAATAATTAAGACTATGAACGTGTTTTATAATTGTTAATATTTTATGAAGTGGAAAGGAAAAGAAGAAGTACAGAATATATTGCCCCACATATTACTGTCTATAGTTGCTTGGAAAATTTGTCTTTCAGTTCAGTTGTAGCTACCGTTCTCGGCCGATCACTACGCATTTTTATCACTTGTTAGTTTGGCGCTCTTTCGTTTACGCAGATTTTATTTCCATATTTTTTCTAAATAGTTTGCTAAAATTTTTTTTAATTGATTACAAAAATTGAATGTAAAATTTATTTTATTGAAAAATTCTTCAATACAAAAACATCAAGAGTTAAAATTATTATACGTAGCATCTGAGTATACAAAGGTCAATGAAATTGATACAATTTACTCAAGACAAGATAAAACAACAACAATTAAATTGTGGAGTAAAAAATGTTGTATAGTGCAGTTCGATAAACGAGATAAAAATAATGAGGGAATTAAAGTTAAGAAGACGAAGTGTTGATGAAGTAAAAGAATGGAAATACATTCCTGAGAATATTGAGTGTTATAATTATAAGGAGCAAGAAGGACGTAGAAGAAAACGATCTGGTACTTGGCCGTAAGTGTTCATCATTATTTTTATTTTGGAGTAGATAATTGGCGATCTATTCCAGACATCAATAGAATAGAAGAGAATATGAAATTAAATAATTCTTATTAAGAATCAGTAGTATTTATTTTTATATTAATGTTCAAACATTCCGTTTATAAGAAACATACTTTTTTACCATTTTAAATCTAATGAATATATGTGGGTTTGTTTTTATCTAGTGTACACATTGTTAAATACAAAGTAAATCTTACGATGTTGATTGAAGTTTGAACTGCACTATACTACTACTTTATCAATTTCCATGGAAAAAAAACTTATATTTATATATTATAAATCAATTGAATTATAATATTTTTCAAATTAAATAATACATTTTAACTGAGAGAGAAATGGATAACGTTTTAGTAGTGCAGAAAAGTTAATCTCGAGTTGATAAGAACAACATAGGTGTGGATATGCGCATTAACGAATTTTATCATACTATGCAAAATAATTTGCAACTTCATCGTTTCTTAGTAAAGAATAAAATTAAATTTTACATAAAGATCGCACAAAAAGGTTTTATATTTACAATAAATTGCGTCTATTCTTTACTTACGTATTTTTCTACTCTGAGCCGTTTATATTCAACTTAAGAACACTACTTGTCATCGAATCCGGTATGGTCTAGTGGCTAGGATACCTGGCTTTCACCCAGGAGGCTCGGGTTCGATTCCCGGTACCGGAAATTTTCTCAAGTTAGTTGCATTTTGTTTACTATGAATTATTTCTATTTTATTTTAAATGACTCTATTTGTCGATATTTTTTTATTGAATTAATAAAAAACATAATATGAACAAAAATGAAAACGATATAACGGAAATAAACGTAGTAATGTATTTTGTCTAGGAAACAAAGTTTGAAGTTGAATATTGCTCTCTCTAAATTGAGTAATAATGTTGTATTTAATTATTAAAAAAAAATTGAAAAACTTGTAATTATTGTTTTTTCAATGTCTTAATTAGAGCTTAGTGAGAAGTTGAAAGACTTTACAGTTGATGTAGATCTTCCAATGTTATATCATTGTAATGTTTATCCATGATTATTCTCTAATTTTTTTGATGTTCTGAATAATAGTATTTGCTATTTAATGTTCATGATATAACCCGATTTTTCGCAAACTAATTAAGTGCACGGGGCGGGACCTTCTAGTGTGGGAGGTCACGTGGTCGATGAGAGGAATCAAATCGTGGAAAAATTCGAAAATATTCAATGATAAGTATAAAACGATTATAAAATACACCAAATAGATTAAACCGCACGAGAAACGTGTCCGAAATGCGTTTTTGTTTAATATAAAAATGTTAACAATAGACTGGAAAATTTAAAAAAATATGAAAAAGCTTTTCATAATTATCAATTAGTAATGGTAAAAATTTTCATAATATATAAATCAGTGATAGATGCTTTGAAATGATGATGGAGTAACTGGAAAAAAATATAAAAAGCTAGAAATATTAACGATACAAAAATAGTTTAAAAAATGATTAAAAAAATATTATAATTTTTTTAATTATGTCATTAGCAGGAGCGTTTTTAATTATTAAAAAGTCAATTTTCAAAAAACTATTATTTTTGTGGACAGCTATCAGATTATACTGGAAATTCTTATATCTTTGAATTTACTCATTGTACGCAGTTTTCATTATTTAATTATTTTTAGCTTTAAAATACGGTGGTGTAGTCTATGACTACCATATTCAATCATTAGGACCAATCTATGACCAAATCGTATGAAACATATTGGTTATTTTCTAAATGTTCTACAATTGAATCTTTGTATACAACATCAGAACATTGCTCGTCATCGAATCCGGTATGGTCTAGTGGCTAGGATACCTGGCTCTCACCCAGGAGGCTCGGGTTCGATTCCCGGTACCGGAAATTTTTTTTTCTTTTTTTTTAAATTAAATAACATTCAAGAGAATACTTATAAACAAGTATTTCGAACTTTTCTTTTATACAAAATTCTTCAGCAGTTTTTCTACATGAAAGAATGGTTATTTTATGTCATTTAAATATTGTATAACATACTCTGCGCACGATCAAAATAACTAAACGTCAGTCAGCTGTGTATCACGTCGCCATTATCTTTAGCATTCAGTTGTAAACTCTGCTCACTAGTTAAAATCTCGTTATAATTTTTTTTTTCTATTTAAAATCCTAATTTTTCAATTAACTTATCGTATTTTATAAACGAGTTATGGAATTATCAGCAGGAAACGCTGAACTTGAAGCTGATGGAGACTCATATTTAAGGTATTTATCAATCTAATGATAAAAACAAGATGATAAATAATAAAAAAACTAATTATGCATAGTCATTATTTCAAAAAAAAAACATATATATGAATTAGTTAATCATTAGAATTGTACGAGCTTCTATATGGCACTTATTTATCAGCAAATAATGATTGAACATTTTTTTTTTTAAATTACTAACAATTATAAGTAATTTATTATCTCAATTATAAACATTATATCATCGTCTAATGATAAGATCATTACTGAAAAAGATTAAGAAATGAATATTTTCTGTAATAGAAGCATTGTTTTAAATAGTCATAATCTTCATTATTAATTATCTTTTTTTTCTATAATATTTATGATTCTATTTTATTCTTTCTTTTTAATAATATTATGTAGAGGAGATAAAAACATTTTTTAAATTTGTGGTAAACATCATCTCATGACCTAAAAGAATATATCTACATAATAAGTTTATTACAAATTTTTTTTAACATATCATTAATAACTCTATCGATAAGATACAATTTAAACAAAAACATCACTATTCACATCCAATTAAAAAAAATTATTGTTATCATTTCTTAATGAAAAAAGTTGCTTCAGTGACACGTTAGATAAATATTAAGTAGATTAAATAGATGAATCAATAATTATAAATTTACTTATGTTGGCTAACGTTGATTGAATGGATAATCAGTCAAGGTCAATATTTTGGCAGCTTTCTTACTTCTAGCCGTTGTTATTACGTTTAAAGATGACATCATATTGTAACGCTTGTTTTTACCTTTCAAAACTATCTTATTCTCATTATCGTACTCAATCTGATGCTGTTTTACCGTCTGAGAGCAGGGAATTTCTTTCTACTGTCTGGTTCAGTTCGGATCATATCTCTTCGTCATTCGCTGTAAGACTTTACCTGTGTTCATTTCGATCTATCTAGAATTATAGCTTTTATAGAACGCCCATATCATTATTAACAGAAACACAAAAACTACAGTAAAATCAATTTTGTTTGAAACTTTTTGTGTGATTTGTTGATCATTAAAACAAACAAAATAATTAGTTTACTCTGATTTGAAGTAAAAAAACGAAGTGATTAAATAACTCAAGTTGAAAGTGATTGTTTAGTGATAAAAAAGGAGTAAAATCTTACTCAAACCTGATTTCTAATTTTTTTTTACAATTCTTATTGACACTTGATTCCATGTAAATGATTTTTGTATAAAATTAATCTGGGAATTGGATTTCTTTAATAATTATGTTATAGTTATATCATATATCAAAGATTCCATGATCATATCATGCAATCAGTAGAAAGTTTTAATAAAAAATGATCTAATTCTGGAAAAACTAGGTTTTACTTCAGCTCTACTTTATTTTTAATGAATTTCCACTGATCATATTTTTTAATTAAATAGTTTGATAATTTATTCGCTTACTCAAATTCTTCCTTTTGCTCAGTTAAAGAATATAAAATATTGTTATTTAGAGCATAAATAGTAATAAATTAGTGTGATCTTTACCTTCTTGACGTCATCAGATCGAAAGTGTCTGAATTGGTATTGCTGGCGTCCCTTTCACTTTTATTTTCTCATCTTGAGGGCTCCTTGATGCTCCTTGGCTATAAAAATTATTCATCAAGTCATTAACTATGAAAAACAACTAAAATCATTTAAATTCAGACAAACAACTTTTTTACCAGACATCCTGGTAACTTTTATTGCTATCTTCATTTCAGATTTTTATCCAAAAAAAATTTTCTTATCGCTTCTGTGTTCTTTTTTCGTCTCTAAAACAGCTTCAAGTAGCAATCGAACTGTTTCAAGCTGACTCACTTCAGGAATTTGCAACGTCACGTGTTCACTCGTGCATTCCTGTCTAGGTGCTTGCTCCAATACGGCTCTTCACATACTATATACTAGTTTAACTTCTACTGTCACGTGATTAATTAATTTGATTAAAGTTGCATTCTTTGCAAGTATATTTGTTGTAAAATGGCATTAAGTAATCACTGAAAAATAAATAAGACATTAAGTGTTACATAGTAAACAAAAGTATGGATCAAGTGTCACCACTAAGGGATGGGTCGTTGATTGGTTTTATCGATGGAAATTTTGAATTCGACCAAATTGATAATGATAGTAATAAAATAAATACTGACAATGGACAGAGAAATCGTGTTCTAAGGTACTATATCTATTCTCGAAAAATATTTTCCCAATTATTTACTTAAAATACATTATCATTAAGTTTAAAAAATAATAAACAGCATGATAAATATTATTAATAGTTAAAATTATTTAGTCAAAAAGTACTGTGTTTACGATGGATTCAATTTATTTTGTAAAAATATATTCAAAGGAAAGAGTAGATATATGATTTATTGATTTTCTATTGAGCTATAAATTGTACATATCATAAATGACAAGAATTTTATTTTAATTTCTTAATCGTATTCCATATTTAACGAGAATATCGAAGACAGTATTCAGTATTCTCGTTCGAAAAATTGTATTCACAATCTCGTCATAAATGAGTTATTATTTATAACTTTATATCATCTATTTCAATATTTGATGTATTCAACTTTTGTTCATTATTATTCATAAGTGTATAATTTCCTTTATTTACTCACGTTGAAGTCAGATAAAAACTTTTAAGTAGAATAATAATTTATAGCACAGAATATTGTTTCACTTAAGTACTTAGTATAGTGACTGATACAATGAATAATTGTAATGAAGTTATTTGAATAATAAACGACAAAAAAATTGATCAACTTTTAAATATTCGCGTGCATGAAATATCCACGTGGTTATGGAGAAAAGTTTTGTATTGAAATAGTACGATTACTCATGATTTATGATAAATATCTCTATTGAATCTATTCAATCACTTTTGTCATGTATGATGTCAAAGACATAATTAAAACACTATAATTACCATAAATATTATGTGATAATAACTATTAATTAAATTTCTAATAGGATTAGTGCGTAATCAATGGTAGAGATGTTTTTATTAGTATTTCAAATGAAACAACTATGATAAAAACAATATAAATCACTGTAATTAGTGATTGTGATGTTTTTTCTATTTTTCATGATGAAAAATTCATTAAGAAAATTGCATGAATAATAAGTTAGATGCATTGAATTAATGAATTGTTTATTTACAGGAGAACCAGAAGTCTTAATGCTCCGAGCCCTATTCAACAGTTTGGGCCATGCGGTCGAATAATGAAAAATTCAGCCATGGTTATGTAAGTAAAATATTGTTTACTATTAAACTATTTATTTATTAGTTAATGTCGTTGAACTTGCTCAATTGTTAGTATTAATTATTTTCAACTTCTAAATTAACTTTTGAAGAAGAAAAGACCGGAAAAGAGGTCGTGAGTACAGTAAAACATAGGAAAACGAAAAAAAATATGTACTTACTTACGTACAATAGTAATGTGATGAGACGGCAATTAGAATGCGAGTTAATTCAACGAGACGCGGGAACGAGCGGTGGTAATGACGCATGCGCGAATCCAAATTGTTTCTTTGTGTTATAAACGAGTTGCGGACAAACACTTGGCAGTATGCGCGCGACCCTCGACCTGAGATCATCGCAGCATGCTCCCATGTTAATTTTTATTCATCATTGTAACATATTATTATCTATTCGTTATAATAATTATTTATACTATTATTTTAACTTAATTTTTAAATAAGTTATTCGGTAATTTAGTGTGTTATTTATTTATTTTTATCTCAGTTTATAATCATGGTCGGTTTCATCAGGTAAGTCATCAATTTTCATATTGAACAATCTTCACAGATTTTGAAATGATCAATGATCAAGTGCGTATGATTAATTAGAATAAACGCTCATTTTATAAATTATTTTTTTTTAGTAAAATTTTTAATTCAGATAATTTTATTTAATGTTATTTAAGATAATTGTCATTTTTATTTAATGTATTGCATTGGAGTATATATTTTAATCAATATATTGATCGTTAATAAATAAATTTAGTATTATTATCAATCAAAGTTTCTCGCCTCGACCCATTTGCATTAACTGACTACCGATCTAGTCGGTTCTTTGACTTGTGTGCGACCTACATGACCTACATGATTGATTCGAACCGTTTGAACTGATATTAAATGAGTCATGGTGTCAATTTATGCCTAAAAAGTCACAAAACAATTTCGACTTTAAATGCTAAAGTATTCGAGGAAAATCTCATAATTATCTACCTCATATCCCTAATGATTACGTAAAGTTAACAAAAAAATTTTGTTGTTACAGGACTATCCAGGATCCAGCTTCCCAGCGATTAACATGGTACAAGCCACCATTAACAGTTTTAGTCATTAAAAAAGTTCGAGATTCTTCAGTTCTACCTCCGTTTGTTCAATTAGTTACATGGCTAATAGAGGTAGGAAAAAGGTTTTAAATTATAGTCACAGAAAAAATATTTTTACTAATGGATTTTTTTAATTTATTGAAATACACTTTGTATTTTTTAGGAAAAACGAATGGTAGTATTCGTAGAAGCTTCAGTTCTTGAGGATCCAGCATTAGCACGGGATCCGAGGTTTCAAGGAGTCAGAGATCGTTTACAAACATTTAGAGATGGAACAGATGATCTTCAGGATCGAATTGATTTTATTGTATGCCTTGGAGGCGATGGAACTCTTCTTTATGCCAGTCTTCTATTTCAACAGTCAGTTCCTCCTGTGATGGCATTTCATCTTGGTTCTTTAGGTTTCTTAACACCTTTCGAGTTTGATAACTTCCAGGAACAAGTTACAAATGTCTTAGAAGGTAGATAAATAATATTTTATCAAATAACAAAGATTTTTAACTGAGTCTAGATGTTCAGTAATTTTTCATGGTAATGCTTAGTCAGTAACTATTGATCATAAAGTTTTCTAGACCTTCGATAAAAGACCAAATGACGCGTTAATAATTATCGTCCTTGCTATAAGTGTCATCCTTGATTTTAATATCCAATTACATATGTGTCCTTTATCTGTAGGAAAATCTTATAATTTTTTCTTTTCTTTTTTCAAGCAACTGAAAAAATATCAAACAATACTTTGACTCGTGTTTGAAGGTTCTTGTTGACTAAAAAGAATTTTTAACTTTCAGGGCATGCCGCACTTACGTTAAGAAGCAGATTAAGATGTATAATAATGAGGAAAGGCGAAGATGGCCAGCCAACAAAACCGCCAACAAATTTATTAGTCTTAAATGAAGTAGTGGTTGATCGTGGACCATCACCATATTTATCAAATATTGATCTCTATATCGATGGCAAACATGTAACAAGTGTCCAAGGTGATGGGTTGATAGTTAGCACACCTACAGGATCAACAGCTTATGCAGTAGCTGCTGGTGCTAGCATGATTCACCCATCTGTACCAGCAATTATGATCACACCAATTTGTCCGCATTCTTTGTCCTTCAGACCGATTGTTGTTCCTGCTGGTGTTGAGTTAAAAGTAAGTACTATACGCATACTTTGAACTATTCAGAATCATACATGATATAATCATGATACAATAGAAAATGAGTGAGCAACAATAAAAAAATAGAATTGAAAAACAAGTCAATTATTCAAATGAATGATTATTCCGGGAAGTATTTTTCGTTGTAAGATTTAAAAAATGAAACGCAGTAGATGATTCGCGATATTAGATTGTAGAATATTGAGTGAATAAATTTAATAATAGGTCAATAACAATAGATTTCAGTTTCACCTGACAGCAGAAACACTTCTTGGGTATCTTTTGATGGCCGTAATCGTCAAGAATTACTTCATGGAGATAGGTAAGATATATAGTCTTGTTAATATTAACAGTCTTCTTTTTTTTTTTACAGATTAAGGCTAATAGTAATGCAAGGAATACAGCCTATGTCTCGTTTGATGGTCGAAACCAACAAGAACTCCATGTTGGGGACAGGTTGGTCCGCAATTAGTTGATAAAATCAAAAAATAAAATATTAAAAAATTTTTTTCATAAAATATCATCGCTTGGTAATTATACGGAGGTTATCTGTGGGATCTGGGCTTATTAATGGTTTTTGTATCCAAAAATCATCTCTTTACATATTGTACCGACTTGGAAGAGACGTAGGCTGTCATTTGTCAAACTAAAAATGAGCTTTTTTCAATTTTCTGCTTTCATGAATATTAATTAACTATTCATTTTTCATGTTTAACATTATCTGAAAAAATATTTATATGTTATAATTTTTTTTTGTTGTAGCTTGAGGGTAACAACATCAATCTATCCAGTACCCAGCATTTGTGCAACAGATCAAATTACTGACTGGTTTGATTCTTTGGCTGAATGTCTTCATTGGAATGTTCGCAAGAGGCAGAAACATTTAGATGAACTAAGTGATCTTACACATTCATCCAGCAATGATACATTAGATTCGCTCGATCGCGATAGCTAGGGTTTACAAATAAATTTAAATTGATAGATCAACATAAGATAAATGTTAAGATTGATGCAAAAATGTTTAAAGATCAGTACAATTACCATAAAACCTTAACGTTTTTGACAGAAAAACATTATTATTAAATATAAGAATTCTGTTAAGGTAAATTCTTTTTTTAATTTTTTTTAACATAATAATTTTTGATTTTATAGATAAAAATACTTTTTGAACTAAATGAATTTTTCAAAAGCACTTGAACACTTGTTTACAGTATTTAAAAGAATTTAACTAGTTCAAAATAATGACTGTACTTAATTCTTAAATTTTTTTTAAATTTCTAATATTTGCATCAATTTAATGGGCAATGATATAAGTTAATATAAGTCATCCGTATCATCATACCTGAAAATATTCAATTTAACAAATTGTAATTACTATAAAAATGATAATTAAGATTAATAGATTTTTAAATAAGTGTACAATAACAATATCCGTGAATCGTCGAACGTCTAATATGGATTATTTTTAATATATAACAAGTGTTATGTTTGTTAAAGAATAAACTAAAAAGCCATAATCACTGTCAAAACAATATATTATTGCTCAAATATCTATCAAAATAAAAAGAAAAAGAGTTAGAGGCTGAAAAGGCAAAAGATTCTTAAGTAATTTTGATTATTTTTTATATAAAGATTAAATTGATTAATATTTATTAATCAATAATTCATTAGTCATAATATTTGTTAATAATCATGACTTTTATAATTATTTGTCAATCTCATGAAAATAACCAATGTAAAAAGAACATTTATAAAATTTTATGATAATTATCAGTTGTAAAATTAGTTCAGATAGTTTTTTATAGGGAAATTTGGGTAAATTCTAAGTTTGTTATATTATAAGATTCGTAGGATTATGCCCATCGTCATTATTATAAAATAAAAAATATATATATATATTTATCTTATAAGAAAGAAAATAGCATATTTGGCCCATACTAAATTTTAATAATTGTTTATCTATTCGAATAATATAATCAAATCTGTTTATTAAATAAAAATATTTTTTTATGGAAATATTGCCTCAGTTTATCAATTATTGATGAGTATTTTCAATTATTGTACTACAATCAATTAATCAAAAAGACTCGATAAAAATTTTTTTCCAGTTTATGTTTAAATACTAAAGATATAAATCTTTTACTCATCGTCAAACAAAAAAACATAAAATTTTTTTTTCATTTATTATTTATGATAAAGTTTTTGTATGGTTTAAAAAATAATTTTTAGCGTCATTGATATATTATAATTTGACTGAGGATGTATGGTAGTAAATTTAATAAAAAAAATTCAAAATATATGTTTTAACAAAAATTTGACTGTATAACAGCTTAAGACAAGCTATTACTTGTCATTTTTTATTATTTCATAATCATTTTCATTATTATAATTTATAATAAACATTATAATACAAAATTGTTTACAATTAAATGCAATCGAGAACAAAACTCGAGCGTAAATTATAACAAGTAAAAAAGTAAGAAAATAGAAAGCCATTAAATTTTATTAATGTTCCTAGTAATAAGTATATAATTGTTATTAACATTAATCAGAATTTTTTATCATCGATCATCAAGTAATGACTTCTTCGAGACTAGAGGACCTCTTTGGCGAGGGACCAATTACTTCATTAACTCATTAATTAATTAATTAATCGATTAATCAAGTAATTAATTAGTTAACATATTGTGTAAGGCTATACATTTTTTTCATTTTTATCTATTTTCACATATATAAACACAACTCTACTACAATTACGTACATTGGTGTTGAAATTAATTAATAATAGATTCAATCAATCATTAATTAACTATTTTGTCAAAATTAATCAATCATGCTTACTACAATAATAATAGCATACAAAAACAATAATAAATTAATTTGTTTTTTACCTATAATAATAACAAGTACTTTTTATATTTTATAATTAAGAGATAATGATAGTGGATTATAACTTTGTACAATTTATTTTATTTCGAACCTGTTCGAAATCATAATTCTCTATTATTCATCTTATTAATTATAATTTTTCATTTAAATTTAATTATCAACGATATATATTCGTTTTCCATTTATTATTATTTGGAGTATTTACAATTTTTCTTTTTTCCTTGATTTTTTTTTATTATCTTCTTTTTCTTCTCATTAACGATCATATCTTATGGCAGTTAAAAGACAAGTCAATGTATTTTTTTTTTTTATTTATAGTTTTTTTCGTTTTATTCACTTTTTTTACTTTAATAATAATTATCTTGAGTAGATAGGCTTGAATATAATATTTTTTATTCATTTTTGTCTTTCTTTAAATGATTCACAATCTTGCTTCAACTTCATCCTAACGGGTTTTGCTGGTAAATTTTTTCTTTATTATTATTTTAATGATTTATCTTTACATTTTCATTTTTATTCTTATTTATAAACTCATGTAATTATTCTGCAATCATTTATATATTTATTATTTGATTTATTTAGGTTTTGCCACTCTTAGTCAAAAAAAAACTATTCACTAACTTTTGAAAAATACAAGAAAGACACGAATGAATAAACGAAGTATGCAAAAATGATTATAGACTTCGATGGTAGACGTTGAATCGTTATTTCGTTTTTTATTAAATATTATTAACATTTATATTCAATTTCAAACACCATAACAGTAGCAATAAATGCGCACCATAACATTTAAGCCTCATTGTACAAATATTTTCATGGCAGCACCTTTAATTTTATCTCAATCATTTTTACAATTCAAATAAGCTAATAAAAAAAAGAACAACTTGTACAGGTGTTCAACATCTCATTCCCTGAAGAAAGAAGTACCGGAGAATGTAAATGACTGGTTTCTCTATCATATTCCCCTTCTCTTTTCATTTCACTCGAGTGTTACGAAATAATCTTACGTTCCAGTGATTCTAGAATCTCTCTTATATGAATGAACCGAAAATTAACGATAAAAATAATAATTTAATCAGACAAACAATAACAATGTAGCAAACAGACAATTTTATGTAAAACAAAGAGTTTACAAAAATACAAAAAATGAACACAAAACTGGGAAAATTTATTTTTTTATATCTTTGGTTATTTTGGATATTGTCTTCGTCTTGTAGAGGCTCTAACACACGGTGGATCTAAATTTCTCGACTGCTCTCTAGTATGATGCTGATTATTATGATAATTGTTATGATTGTTTGTATTATAATTGTTCATTTCATTTTTTTCTCCTTCAAATAACCTACACATTTCACGAACTGGAACAGTTTTAACACCTCTATTAAGGTCATGAAGAGATCTTGCTCTTTGTTTACCCTTAGGACTTGGTTGAGATGATGTTCTTCCAAGATCTTCGGTACTTCTTGCCAATCTTCCACCCAATCTCGACAGTGACTCGAATAATGTAAGTTTCTCTCTTACTGGAACATAATGATCGACTCTCTGACACCTTTCCAGCAATTTAGCAACGTCTTCTTCACAAGGAGAATCAAGAGAAATCGAGATAACATTTGTACCAGTTGTCGAAGATTTTTTTTCCATCGTATTTAAATTTTCTTTAGATTCTTTTAATTTTGTTGACACATGATCACTAATCTGGGGCGACGAAGCAGTTCTTGTTTGTCTACAGATCGGAATTTTTGATACTGATGGATTTAACCGATCTTGAAGTGCTCGGTCGATTTTAGTATCTAACTTGAAAGTCCTTCGTTCTCTCGTCCTACTTCTACGTTCACCTAAATCGATTTTCGCTAGAATATTTGAATTTTCTTGATGATAATTACTTAAATTTCTACTTAAATTATTATTATTCCGGGTGTCTTCGAGATTTCTCTGGAAACGAGGCTCAGGTTTAATCGGTGGCAGCCTTAAACTAACACTATCAACACAGTCGACTGACTTATTTTTAAAAGTATCATCTTGTTGCTCTCTGGAAGCCCTACTTCTTAATTTCAATATAGAATAACGGGAAACATCATTGTTGTTTTCTTCAGCACGTGCTTTCCGTCTTCTAGCATCTTCTTCGAGTACTCTTTTAGTCCTAGCTTCATTCTCTCGTCTTCGTGCTTCTTTGTATCTTTGAATTCTCTGTTCTCTTGTTGGAGCTTCTGGTAGTGTTATTGCCGATAAGGAAGAATTACCACCCCAAGGAAGGCTATCATCACTTCCTTCGCTACTTTCACTACAGCCCCAGGCTCGTGTTATGGGTTGCATTTTTGGAAGAATTTGAGGAATTGATCGAAATTCACCTGCAAATATTATTTTTTAATTTATTCAAAAATTCAATAATATATTTAACAAGAAGAAGAAAGTTAACTGATAACATTAATAGATTCCTACCAACAATATCTTCATCACTAGAATTACTGCTTGACCAGCAACGTAGTTCACTTCTTGCTCGTCTCCTTGTATCGTCTAAAATCGTAGGAGAAATGATATCTTTCTCTGAAGATGAATCACCTAACCAGCATCGAAGTTCACTCCTAGAGCGTCTTCTAGAGTCCAAGGGACTTTCAGGAAGTGGAAGTGGCCCTCGTGGACAGATCATAAGTATTTCAAGAAAATTGAGACACCGTTGGGCACGAAATGGTGTCTGTCGAACCAACTCTGCTGCTATTGCTCTGACCCATGACCAGTAAATTGGCTCAGTGTCCGCCTGTCCGGCAACAAAAATAATAAAAATAGAAAAATGCCGAAGTGGAGAGTTAAAAAATTACAAAATCTTGAGGACACTATTTTTTCATTAAAGCAAATGATGTTGTTGTCCAGAAAACATTGCTAAGAATTTCGAAAGTTGGTGTGCGAAAAAATTCTTAAGCAAAGAATCATTAGTTTTATGTCTTTAAATGATGATAATTATTATTTACAGCGGAAGTGAAACTAGTTGTAATAATTCTTAGGTGATAATAATTTTACTATGCCATTTGACCTTCGACTTTAAAAATGTTTGGGAGTCTTAGTAAAAATGATTAACTTAGAAAATGACAGTCATCAAATTATTCTTATTTAAAAACTAATTTTTAACCGCATTGAGCAAGACTTTAATCATTTTAATTAAGATATTAAACTTTAGAAAAACACAATGCGTTGCAAAATAAAAAATTATCTAATTGTCACAGTAAAAATAACTTATTTTATAATTCAATAATAAATGTTTTTCAACCAATGATCATTTACAGATCATTTAGAACAATATGATAAAAAGCAGTAAAGTTATTGATAAAAAATGAAAATTTTGCATGGAAATGTGTCAAAGGCATAAATGGTAATTATAAAAGGAAAAAATGATAATTTAATGCGAAACCTCGGCCGACATTAATCACTAGGTATTGTATAAGAGTTAGAAATCGAACGGAAGGTTTAATTAAGATTCGCTTGTTGCATTAGTCATGATATGTATGCGTGTATATACATATCATGACTAGTATAGAATAAAACCAGACATAGAGTAGAGAGACTGATCGCGAGAAAGTGTTTACTGCAAAGAAAACGGATCGTGATGAAGATAAAAGCCATTTACATGTAATTACGTTGCGTGGTGTTGAATTATCTGTATTTTTTTGCTTCTTATATTATGCTTTAGTCAGACTAAGTTTCTGATTACACTTCTTCTCACTTTCAATGACCAAGATCAGGGTTTTAAATTAATTCTTACATTTTTTATTTTAATACACTAGTATCATTCTAGATACTTGATTAACTATAAAAACATCCTTACTTTAATTTCAAATAGTCCTTTATTCTTCTATTATTGAATAATTTATTAATCTACTCTATTACATAAGACTTTAAATGTGAAAATATTGAGAAAAATTATCAATGTTTCTTTCATAAGTTTTTTTGCTTGTTATTATACTGCTTAGACATATTAAGGTTCTAGTTACAGTCTTCTCACTTTCAACAATGAAGATCATGTATTAAAAACCTGCTGAAGTCATCATCAAATGACTTTTAATAATTTTGAGTTCAGACAAAGGATTTTTTTTAGAATATAAAAGTAAAAGAAATTAGTAATAGAGAAAGGTCGTGGACAAAATGACTTTTCTAAATGCCTTATGACGAAATAATTCAATCAAATTTCTTAAGTGGCCAAGTTATTTAACAATTTAACAAACAAAAAAGTTTCTAACTAGGTAATAGAGTCATTAAAGAAATTAATCTTACCCAAAATGTTGCCAAATGATCGCCTTTAGAATTACTAAGAGTAAATCCTAGTGCTAGTGCATGAGGTTGACATATTCCTGGTGATGCCTGGCGAAGGTTCAGTGCCCTTAGTGCAAGTCTCATTGGTGTTCCCTCGACCCACAGCCAACCCATCCTGATCGATACCATTCTCCTTTCACCTAAGTCCTCCACGTAAAGCTCACCTGTAAAATACCACATATCCTCTATTTAATCTTTTTAAAATGTATTTTTTAAAAATTACTTTACTGCTCGAATAATACATTAATAGATGCATTGCAAGACCCAATTCTATCAATGCAGAATGGTAATAGAAAGTAGAAAAATATCAAAATAATGATGCCAATCTTTTCGATGTCTTCGATAATAACTGAAATGAGGAAAGTCAGTGAATAAATGAAAAAGGGAGAATAAATTGAAAAGTGATTATTCAATTATCCGAATAAGGTATAAATATGAGATAAGAAAAATAAATGAAGGTGTGAGAGTTTGACTATGAAACTGAATGTACCGTTTCTATTGTTCAAATTGTTGCACATAATTGATGAGAACCTTGGTTGGATTATACACACACTAATCTTAGGTATTTTGTAAGACATTGAGAATATGCTTTGTATGTATTTTATTATTTTTTTTATTTCACTTCGTTAACTTGCTAAATAATGAATAATTCTCTTCTCCTTTCATTTCTTCAACAGTGCAGCTGCTATTATCGCTGCAAAATAACTTTAATATTTTTATTATATAAAAATGATTACTACAATAATTATCTTTAATTTTCAAGATACTTGATAAAATATTATTTGATTTAATCGATTAATAAAACAATGTGAAAAGTATTTATCCATTAATAAGTTTAATGGTTGCAATAAATGTCTCTCATGTTCATATGACTACGTAATTTATAAATATCTCTTCTATTACCAAAGATAACCTACTAGTGATAAATTAATTAATATTTCAACGTGCATTATCGTACACATATTTAATGTTTATATTTTTATATATTGTTGATAAGACTTTATCAGTTCAACTTTAATCTTTACACTAATTCTACCATTAATATCATAACGTTATCAATTTATTTAGCCTTCACAGTTGCAAAATCTGCTAAACTGTATTTTTGCTCAATAACTTGAGACTATAATTATGTACATATCAAGTGAAAGAGGCAAAAAAGAGGAAATGACAATCTCAATTGGCGACAGTTTATATCTTATCATGCTTCCTATAGACTCTCAGAACATTTTTAATAACAAAATTAACAATTATTTTTTTTTTCCTTCTATTTTTGACGCGATTACAATTTTTACACTTCCATGCATCCTGTCACTTCTTGTCACGTCATGTTGTGAAAAGGTTTTCAACCCTTTTTCCAATTCCCAGCATCTTACCCTTTATGTATACATAGGCTCTTACTATTATGTAAAACTTAACGTATTATTTTATTTAACTTTGTAATTATTTATAGGTGAATTAATTTTAAAATTATGCTGATTAATGTGATGTAACAGATAAATATTTAAAATGACCGTGTAATTTTGAACATCTCTTTACACAGTCTAGTCTGGTTTTCAGGGTAATAATTTATTCTAAATAGAAACGTTCAGTGTCTACTTTTCTTTTTTATAGAATGAATTCATGTAAGGGTGTATTTTAAGTTAATTTACAAAATTAATCAATCTAAAAAATTTTTTTAGGTGACTACTAACATTTTTGCATTTTACAACCCCATGAATAACTTATCCACCTAAAAGTAGTTGTCATGAATCGACCTCGATTTTTCACGCTTTTTTTTTAATTTCAATTCACAAATGATTTTTTATAATTTTACTTTCCCTTTGACACTGATTGTTTGGACATGTCAAGTTGACAGGCAATTCATAGATGTCAACTCCGTGACGAAGCATGTCAAGGACCAGTTCTTCCTTCACGTTTTATGCATATTTTACTTATGCAACAATTTTTTTTTTAACATGAACATTATGAGATTGATGACTCGACATTTGTCTTCGCTTTTGTTAGAATTAATTCATTATAATTTTTATTGTCATTCTAAAATTTCGTAAAATAAATTACCGTATACTTACAACTATGTAGAGACATGATGTTTATTTATAAATCCATTTACGATAATGGATATTTATTTTCTATACAAATGCGGAAGGAACTGGCGCTTGTGGTAGAAGTGAAATGCGATAGACAAACCGACGTGAAAGTGACAGAAATGAGTGAACTAACTGGGTAGAATGGATTGTAGTGAGACAAAATAAACGACTCTGTGGACCGATGTCGATTGTCACGAAACCGGAAGTGAGATATAACGGACACAAAAATAACCAGAAATTAAAAATAAAAACGGAAATATTTTTTTTTGTCCTCTCAAATTATACTAATTAACAGAACTTGACTGAGGAAGATGTATTTCAAAGTATTCAGAAATGAAATTTCACAATTGTTTTCAATGATATATTATGTGGACATTTAAATATTTATTATCTAATTTTTTATTTGATGAGTTATGAACACAACGGAAAGATGGACTAACGGTTAGAAAATACCATCGACACTTCCTTGTATGTAATATACAATTTGATTTGCATGATAACATATTCTGGAATCTGATCGTAATGTCGGTTACGAGTTCGCTCATTCTCCGTTGCCGATTTGCTCGGCTAATTTTTATTTATTTCCATTAGTTTATTTTATTTTCTGATAATCTACATGTAATAATCAACCGAAGATAATGATAAAAAAAATTATAATATAGATGATTGCAAAAAATATTTAAAAAAAAAAACAAACGAGTGGTTATACACACGTGTAGTAATTGAACTTAGAGGTCCGTTATATGTAACGATAAACTAGTGCAGCATTTTTTGTTAAAATCCAAGCTCCGTTGCACTGCATTAATGTTAAATTTCTAAGAATATAATTAAGACAAAACCAGGTAGCCAGCGAAAAATAATTCATATAATTATGTATTAATTAATCAATTTTTTCATTAGGTAAAAAAACTATGAAAAAATTTTTTTCTTCAAATGTACGGTTTTTGTAATTTATATCATTATCTAATTTGTAATTATTCAATCGCAATATGTGTAATTTATTAACTAAGCATAGGAAAATATTTTCTTCAAATCATAATTATTGATTTTATTTGTTCTGAAAAGGATTAATAGTTCTCAGAAGGATCTATACTATTCATTTATAAACTCATTAATATCAACAGTAATTAAGAAATCGTGATCAATTGTATGTAATAAACAATAAAGTGCTTTCAATTATCATTAATAAAATCAATTAAGTTATACATTGAAAATAGAAAAAAGTTATGCAAGAAATAAATTCTTGACTGAAATTTACTTTTCTACACAAAATAACATTCTTCTTAGTTCATTGCATCTTTCAGTCGACCAACATTAACAGACTTTCAACTTGACAAATAGATCTTTTGATAATTTTTTAGATTTGGGAAAATACATAAAATCAATTGGTTATGCCTCAATATAATAAAAAATTACTAAAAATAGTTTGGAGCTTTAGGCAAGAATGAAATTTTCATGGATTTTTTTCAGATGCTTAGAAAACTGTAGGCTAAATCCCAGATCTATATCATCTTCCGGTAATTTTAAGAATTGTGTAATAATAATAAAGTGAGTTCAAGTAATTCAGGTTCATAATAATTGTTACGTTTTTATTTTTACTGCATAATATACTTATTATCATTTATTATTTATTATAATTGTTTGGAAAATTTTTTTACAGTTCGAAAGTTATTATTTATTAAGTGAAAGAATAAATTATAGATAATAATTATTCGAGCGAAAACAAATATAAGTTGACTAGCGTGTCGATCAGGTCTGATGCTCGATTTAAACGAGAGAAACTCGCTATATAATAAACTAAACGATGCAACGCCTGATTTAATAACATAAATTTTAGCGACCTCTCATATATACAAGAATGTAAACATAAATCTTTTTCCTTTATAATTTTAAATTATCTGCTTATCATTATTTTATTATATTGTTTTTCACATATTTATCTAGTTTTTTTTTATTATTTTTTAATAAAATAATGAAATGTTCTATCAATGTTTTGTTGAATAATAAACAGAAAAAATTAAAAATATTTCTAATAGTATTCATTCTTCGTCTAATCCAAACAAAACAAAATTTATTTCACAAAGTCTATTGTTAGTAAATTTCCTAAGTGTTGAAGCGAGTACATACGTGTATTTCTACATACTGGAACCATAAATTTCAGCCTGAAGTGAACAAGTATTGCAATAGAAAAGGGTTAGTGAGAGAGCAAAAATTAAAGATGAGCCTGCATCAACGTTTTCAAGACACTTTCAACCCTATCCCGCCTTGTTTTACATTGTTCCAACCACAAACTCTCTCAAGACTTGTCTTTCACAAAGCTCTTCTGCTTAAACACCTCTTAACAAAGCAACTAACGAGTTGAAGAACCCGAAAAAAAATAAATAAAAAATGTAAATAGAAATAATAAAAAAATTGAAAAAACCCTAAAAGAAGTATAAGAAAAATAAAAACCTGTTTGCAGGTTTGTGGAAAGACCTGCTAATTTTTTTAGTATTTTACATAAACCAAGAATAGATGGAAAAAATAAAATGTTAAGAAAATAAATGCACAAGAAGATATTAGTATCCACTTTTAGGAACCAGATTGTCGAAATTATTACTGCTTAAAAGTTTCCCATGTTTTTACTCTAAAAAGGTCCATTTACTTAATCAATTTCATGGTAAATTTTCTTGGTTTTTTTTTCTGTAATACCTATTATTCATAACATTTAAATGTATAAGTTCCATAGAATCCATTATAAATCCTATCAATCAAAAATACTTACTATTATTTTAAAAACCTTTTTAAAAATTATTTAAATGAAATACTTATCATTCTCTTTAACTACCTAGTATGGGTCAAGATTTGATTTAAAAAAAACGGTAACATTACAATAATTATTATTCTGATTCTAGATAATGATAACTACTAATTATAATCCTTGAAAAAAAGATAAATATAGCAGTTATAACACATTATTTTTACCCGGAAAAGCAAGTGTGTAAAACTTTTGTGCAGTAGTGTATAATGATTCTGCAGGTATTTTTTCTCTTTTGAACTGACCGACGAGAATCCGCCCCTTGGCCGCAGAACAGGGG